GGTCTCCTTAACTCTGTTTAATTCTAAGCCAGTGTGGAACACCAAATGGAGCTGCACACAAGTAAGCCATTTGTTCAGAAAATTGTGGTCACAGAGGCCTTTATCTGGTGTCTTCTATACTTACCCTAAAGGAACTATCTAGGAAGAGCCAATCTCTCCTGAAATTAAGTCAAGAATCAGAGTGGGAAATGTATTGGCAACAGCAGCCCCAGAACTTATTTATGTAGCTGAGAAAGAACATCTTGCTGTGGATTGTTTAACAAAGAGACTCAGGCTCTTGGTGACTTTAAAGCCCATGGGTGCACTTTTCAACTCACATGAACAGGTGCTGAGTTTGAGAGTGAATGCTGACTGGTGGCTGAGCCAGTAAATGGACAAGTAGTTTAAACCATAGATCTTCGTAGGTGCGATCTGCCTCCTTACTGAACTCATGTTGTTTATAACCTGCTCTGCCACTGCTTAAATAAAACATGACTTTTAGATAATTAATTAGCACGGTGGTTTCTGTCCATTATGTGCTTCTCATGTCTTTTTCCAACCAAAATAAATAATTTGGCTTTCACGTATTAGTATAAACACTGTTAATATCAGACCATCTTTTCTACAGAAGTCTTATTTCCTTCTGGTCTTTGTAATCCAGGCTCCTCTGGTATGCTAACCATGACAGCAAATCTTTAGTAGGCTTGCCTACTTAGGTGCAAAGTTCGAGTGCTGCCTTTTCTACTTTGACCTGTCTCAAGAAGTGCATGATAGAGGGGTATTTGCCTAGGTCTCAGTTCAGTTAATTGTAGTGTCCTAAACAAACCACTGAAGATCTTGGTGTTCTTATTCACAAACCACTGGAGTTGCATCTGGCTTTGTATATATTGTATATTGTATATAGTTTTGTATTAGGCTTAGAACTCTCTTATTTAGACAAAAGGGAGAGGTGTTGTGGGAACTCCTTCAGCCAATAGCCTTTAAGATACCGGCCCACTTTTGGTGTGGTCTCATGTACTATAAATGCAGATGAAAAGCATGTGCAGCCCCTTTTCTTCTGCTGGATTTGGTTCCAGTTCCCAGCGTACACAGAGGACTGTGGATCGCTATACTCTTACTGTGAGTTTATCCCCAAATAAACCAACCTTTGTTATATTCTATCTCAGGCTATTGTGGAGCTCTGTGGTATAACTATATTGCCTGACACACACAGGTGACTCCCAGAGCCTTTACTAGCTTAGCTTAGACTGCAAGACAAAGGATGTATTGAACACATGTGACATTAAGTGAGACTGAGAGGAAGAGAGGATCACAGCAGCAGTTATCAACCATGAGACTTCAATAAGTCATGCTAAGTTTAAATATCCTCATGGGAGGAGATTACATCCAGATCCCCCAGTTTTCTTCTGGCTAACCCCTACTAGTTGAGAACAAGAGAAATGAAGAGTTGGACTATGTTAGAAACATGAGCTCTTCCTGTACAATGGGTATGTGGAAGGAAGGGTTGGTGTGAACATCTGGAGCGCTGCATTAACATGTAAACAGACTGACTGCTCAGTAACCTTCTCTTGAAGACCCACATGAAGGATGCCATGGTACCTTGGCCAAGTATCATTAAATTTGCATACCAAGGATACCGCTAGTAATGCCACATATAATACTTGATTATAATATTTTATACAAACCATTTCACCTCAAGTTTCCTCACTGAAAAACATATTTGGGCTTCATTATCTAGTGGGGGAGTACACATTCTTATTGATGTAAGATAATGGCTTCCAAGCCAAAGACTGAGGAAACAGCTACATAAGATGGCTTATTAAAAAACAAAAGCAAAAGTCCTTTGGTCTAACCTCAAGCTTGAGAAATGCTAGATTGGAAGAAGTTAAATATTATTCTTTACAGCAGGCCTTTTCGAAACCTGTAATTAGCTACTAATGCACTGTGATTCTGTAAAAGGGAATAATTAATTTTGATGCCTGTGTGCTTGACCATGGAACATTCTGTTCGTAGTATTTTGTAATGGTAGCATTGTCTGTAATATATACTTGAGAAATAGTGGGATCAGATATCATTGCATATATGGGCAAAAATTTAACCTGTTACCATGGTATGATCTGAGGGATGTTCCGGGGACTGAGCTAGGGTTTGTTCCGAGGAAGGAAAACTAGAGCATCCACAGCTCCTAGATCCCATTTAATTAAAATCCCTTGGGATGCTAACAAGCACCAGTGGATGAAAAGTCTCACGTGTCTTCATTTCCATCCTCGGCTCAGCACAGCTCCAGTTCCATTATCCTTAAACATCTATTAACATGATTGCTTCATAATTACCAAGGCTAACCGCCAAGCACTTTGCCAGGAAGCAAGACACTGCTTATCTTTAAATGCTCTTCTGGCTTGTGCAAAATGGTCAGTAGGCTTTTTTTTTAAAACCCTTTATATGCCCTTAATTGAAGAAACATCTCTAAAACTACTATCTGAATAACTACAAGATAAGAAGATGATAGCACATGGAAGACACAAATCAAAGCAGATGAACACAAAATCTGCTCTTAGAGTGGGACAATACCAGATTCAGCATCTACAGCAATTATCAGCCACAGACGCTCCATATAGGAGAAGCATGGTGGGACCTATTGACTTCCTTCCGGTCACACTGTGCCGCTCGAATTTTAATTTCAGAACAGCCTATGCTGCATGTTACCATGGACTCACACAGTAGTAATAGTCAATAGACTTATCTCTGAGGAGTCCCAAAGGTCAACTGCCTCCACGTGTCTGCTTCATCGCCCATCCTTTGTGCTGCTCCATGGACAGGAGTCCCGCTAAGTGCTGAAGTCACAGTCTAACTGGCAATATCCCACACAGTCACAATGGTTTGGGAGAACTGGGAGAGCGAGTGGCATTTACCAAGAATGTAGGTTATTAGATATTTTCATACTCAGCACACAAAAACAAACAAACGCCTGAATTTTTCATCGTCTTATAGATAAAATCAGGGCTCAGAGAGATTATGTTTGCCTAAGGTCAAGCCAATGCCTAATAAATAACTAGGTAAAACCTGAGTCTGCTCTCAGTGAGTCCCAAGTCTGTTTTATACTACCCATGCTTGTTCTACCACAAACAACCTGCTTTTTTATAGATCACAAATGAGCCATTTATATAGTTTCAGTATGAAGCAAAACATCTTTTTAAAAAAAAAACTGGGAGGGAATTCCAGTGGATACTGAAATTTGCTTGCAATTAATTTTCCATACACTTTTACACCCCAATATCACAGGGGGAGCAGGCAAAAGGCTGCTTTAACGTGACACAAAGAACAACTAGAACAGTTACTGGCTTCGATACTTGAGACATCAAGTCATCATTTCTTGAGGAAAGCTTTCTGTTGTTTAGGCAGTGAACCCACCCTAGGCCAAGCATCCTGAAGGCAGCCACTCCCTAGGTCAAAACTCCTAATTCAAAAGAAGAAGCAGAAGTATGCTAGAATTCTCTGACCTTTGGTCAGGGTGGAGTGGATCTACCTGTGTGGGCCTTCTTAATGTCCAAAACACCAAGTAACCACACCCTAGGTCAGGGTGTGTAGCCACACCTGTGGACAACTTTGAACAAGTTAAAACTCTCTGACCTTTAGAGCAGGTGGAAACAGGCTCACATTTTTGGGCCTCCATGATCTTTCCATCCTGTAACTGATTCTCCTCTTCCATCACGCAATTCCTATTAAAAAAAAAAAATCCCCATTTTCAGCACTTAGGATAGTTTATGTGTTCCTGATGGAACTCTGACTGGTTCATAAAATGTTTAAGTGCAACAAAATTGGTTTGCATGAAGTTTAAAGTGTTAGTCTTCTATCGATCCTGTCTCCTGGGAGGCTAAGTCTTGGCTACAACAAAGCAAACAAAGTCACAGAACCAATAGGCTGAGAAAGACCTTAAGATGTCTCCATGCTAACAACTGCCCAATGCAGAAATTCCGTGCAATGTCTGACAAGATGGTTGTAAGCTTCAGTGGATATCTTCAGTGCTGGTGTATTTGTTAGTTATTGTAGCAATACTGCTGTGTAACAAACCACCCCAAAACTTGGTGGCTTAAAATAACAGGCATTTTCTTTCTTTGTGCTCATGGGCTTGGTTAGCACTACTCTGAATATAAGTTGCCGAATTCTGGCACCATCTGGGTTCAAGGCTGTTCTATGCATCTACTGTATTTCCTCTTTAGTCTAGACACCACCTGAATGCTTTTTTTTTTAAAAATATTTTTACTGAGCTCTGCACTTTTCTCTGCTCCCCTCCCCTTCAACTCTTTCCCAAGGTCCCCATGCTCCCAACTCACTCAGGAGATCTTATCTTTTTCTAGTTCCCAGAGCAAAACATCTTAACTTTTATCATCACACTAACTTTAAAGTCTTACTAATATCTAGACCTTTCTAGCCATTTGGCTGCATCAATGGAGGTCTTTACTCTCTACTGTTGTAACGAACTTTCATAACTCAGTGTTTGAGGAAGAAAAAAGCCTGACTACGTTGACTGCCTCATTTCATCTTCATTCTTGGGGCACACACACCTTTCTGTCTCTTTAAAAAACAGGTTTCCAAGCTATGACATATTCAAATATGAAAAAGTTTGGAGAGCTAGGGAAACACTGGTCACATGACTTCAGTACCCATCTGATGCAACTCCAGACTAAATGGGGAACTCCAGAGTCGCTGCAGCAATCCAATCACTCATGTGTTGTCCTTTTAGACTGTGAACCAGGCACATCCTCAGGACTCTGAAGTTTGATTCTACTGTTTCCTATTATTAAAGAGGCAGGAAAGATAGAGAGGTGGGGGGGGGGGGAGGGAGAGAGAGGGAGGAAGACAAGACAGACAGACAGCAAATCTCTTCCAATTGCTATAAAAATTCACGGGTTCTGTATCAACTGCATCTCATTGGCCTTCAGAGTGAATGAACAATTTAAAATTGAACCCCCAGTGACATTACCATCTTTTAATTCCTTTGACTAAATACTTGGCCAGGGTCCACCATGATTTAGTTTTACTGTGACAGAAAGAGCCAGTAGAAAAACAAACAAACAAACTACAGTCATCTAGGCAGACAGTGATACATGCCCAGTTGGGCTTGTTTTGGTTTCTAGTATTTAATTCATACCTACTAACAGGTGGAGGGAAACATCTTTTCCAGGAAACACCATAATACAGCAAAGCTGCTTTCCTTCCCGCACAGTCTGCTAGTGTCTATTCAAAATGAAAATAATTCCATGAGTGCTGTTCCCCATACACAGGCCCGCGGCACCTGTTTTCAAAGTCTTGTATCAGAGAAATTATGTAACCGGCTATCTGGCTTGATCCTTACTCTGAGAAAATAGGCCAGGGTTTTTTGCTAGGTATTTCTTTCTAGCCCTTCATCCTCTCCTCAGAGACTTACACTAGTGTTATGGTGCAATAGCACACCCTAAGCCGAGAATGTGGCTCCTGCCTGGTAGCTGAACAAACTTTGTCACTTAAAATGTAAGTGACTTGACTTTCTGGGTTTTACTTCTTTATGTGTTAATCATTTCTTTGCACTCTCAGGATCAGAGGGATCGCAGTATGGTTCTTTCTTTAAAGGTTCCTTGGATACGGTCAAATCTATGGGCACTAGAGGGGAGACTTGTGTAAATGTTCCCTCGGCAACTCTAGCAGATCAAAGTGGAGAAAAGAGAACTAATGGTCAATTCCTGCGTCCCACGTCCACAGTGCAGGCTGCCTTCTGCTCCTGCCACCATGCCCAGGGTCCTTATCGGAAGAGGTCACTTGTCAGAAACCATCAGTTCCATTCACTGTTAGTTCCAGCAGCAGGCTCACTCACCAGGGCAGCAGTGATCTGTGCAGAGGCTTCTCGAGCCACAGAGTGCATGGTTACCAGGGGACCTGGCTGGAATACAGATTTTGGTAAACAGAGAACTTCTACATCTCTTAGCAACTTCAGTATACCACCAATGCTGCTGGCTGGAAGACCACACTTCTGTAACAAGGTCCTAAGACATCGGCCTCCTCACATTTGACCAAGAGAGTTCAAAAGGGCACAAACACAGAGCTGCCGCGGCAGGCGGCCTCCACACTGTAGGCGGCTTCCGCACTGCACACAGGAGTTAAGTTCTCTCACTCCTACTGCCCAGACATGGGTCCTGCCGACAGTCTTGGTCTACTGAACGATAAATCCTGGTTCTGTTGCTCCAGCCTTATCCGGTGCCACAGTGTTGTGGAGAACCTATCCCGTGTCCAAGGTTCCAATTACTTGGGTCTAAAGTGGGCCCTACCAATAAATAAGACTCCAATGGACAATCAGGCATGTCCAACTTGTTGACATTGTACCAGAGTTCATGCTTAAGAGCAACACAATTGGGCTGGAGAGATGGCTCAGGGGTTAAGAGTACTGGTGACCGGGGTTCAATTTCCAGCACCACACCTGTAACTCCAGTCCCAGGGAATCCGCTATCTTCATCTGAATTCCATGCATGTGGTACATAGATATACATGCAAGCAAAATACCTACGTACACACAAAATGAAAATAAGCAAATCTTAAAAAGAACTATGCAATTAAAAAAAAAACCTGCAAAACACGTGAAAAGTTTTAAGTAAGCTTCTGATTTTGAATTGGGCTGCATAATAGTTGCCCTTGGCTGCATGGTGCCCATGGGCCACACACACCTGGGTGACTAAACCATTTTCAGGTCCAAGGAAGAAAATTTGTTCATGTTCTTTGACAGACTGCAAAGACCTTTACCCCATGGCTATTTATGTCCTTACGGGAAGAAGAGTGGGAGCAAGGCTCCAGGCTCGAGCGCCTGACAGTGCGCAGCCTACCCACCGGGGACCCGGTTCACAGGTTGCTGAACAATACTCCAGTATTGTGTGGCCTTTTTTCTAGAGACACTTACTAAATGTGTGAGTTATGCGCTGGGCTGAGGTTTGCTGGCAGTATGCATGCCAGTCTAGCATCTACAGGCCCCAGGTTTGATCCCACGCAGGACATGAGAGAAGTTTAGCAGAGTGCAAGCAACCCCAGTAGTAGGGAGGTGGGTGCAGAAGATGGGGAGTTCATAGCCGTCTTTAGCTGCACAGGGAGCTCACTCAGGAGAACCTGAAGAGAAAAAGGGCAAGTACGCCTTACATATTCTATAGAAAATTATTTTAATGCAGGCATCATTACAGATACCTTCAGCAATCAAAATTATTCTCGTCTGAATGAACAAACAAACCTGGAGTTTATATATTTACAAATTTAAAAATATACAAAATAAGGAAACCAGCTAATAAAAACAAGGACAGAACATCAGTTGGTGTCATTAAAGTCATATAGCGAGTGTGAAAATAATAGTTTATAAATGGAATGTCCCAGGAAAGGCTTCCGTTAGCTATTTGGTCTCTGCGGGGACAGTAGCAGCATCTTCTTCTGCTGCTGCAGACCCAGGCTCGGAGGCAGGAGCAGTGTCACACAGGGCAGAGACGTCTTCCATCTCACTGGAGGCTGTCTCGGTCTGACTGGAGCACTCAGGCTGAGAGGCTGGGGTCTCCTGACTCAAGCTGGCTTCTGTTGGACTGGGTATGAGGTTAGCTTGAGCAGCTGTGGTTTCTTCTTCTGCTTCCATTTCTGTTTCTTGATTCTGAACTTCCTCACCTTCTTCCACCATTGCAGGTGGTAGCTGTAAGAAAGTCTAATAACAAAATACCATAGGAATGTGAGTGTCAAGAACACTGGCTTAGAAAGCTGATCAAGCTCACATATTCCATCACTTTCTTACTACACAGCTTCTGCTACAGTTTTCCAGGCACTGCTAGCCATCTGATGTGACAAATTCGACACTTTTAAACAATACCCTTGATTCAGCTAATGGCAAAGAATATCTCTGTGTCACATGTAAGTAAAAACCTACATGAACAATCCTGAGAGTTTTAGTGAGAGGAGTGTTTGACACTGCTTCTGAGAAAGCACAGTGGTTGGTTAGCATTACCCGCCACATCAGCTCGAGGTTCAGCTTCACTGAAGGTGTCTGTGAGGAGAGCCAATTTTAAGAGCAGGACATGGTGGGGAGTGAAGGGCGGGCAGGGCTCAAGCCTCCAGCTCATTCATCTGGAGCAGCACAGCCATCCATGCCTAGCTTTTCCTCAATGCCTTGGCAGCTGGGGCCAAGCAATAGCTTCTTTCCTCCTAGATTTTGCTTAGCTAGTCAGAAATTTGAAAACATTTTTAAAGTACCACTCAAGAGCAATGGGCACTCAGGGCAGAGCTAAGAGATGGAGATAAACAGACTTGAAATTGGTAAGGTACTAATTTCCCCAAATTGACCACATACAATTTCACTCCTGGAGACAGTGTCTCAATTACAGTGGGCTTTGAAAGGGCTAGAAACTGGCTGGCTACGTCTAGGTAGAACGGGTCATTTTTGAAAAAGAATGGAATTAAAATATTCATTTTGCCCCATTTTAAGATCTGCTTATTCGAATTGACTATAACCCAGGAGCACGGTGATGGTGAAGGGATGGACAGATACACCGAACTGTGGAATACAGTGGAGTACAGAAAGAACACTCATGTACACAGTCGATATTTTGGGTTTACTTATTATCATTTTTTTTGGACTAAGGTGACAAGTTCAAAAGAGAATAAAATAGTCTACTGAGGAAATGGCATTATATGATACAAAATCCACATATGGACGAATAATATAATAAAGCATGGAATCTTGCCAGAATGAACTCAAAATCTATCCCACTTGCAAACACCACAACCCGAACTATAATTGGCAGAGGGTAGTCTTTGTCAACTGGGGCTAAAGTATGTATTTTTAGGACATGAAGAATGAATTATAGGAAAGTAATTTTACATATTAGATATAAAATTCAAAAGTCTACTAAAAGCTTCTTTAAAAAAATTATAAAAACGTGTTTGATAAGGATCCTGTAGCTGGAAGACTGAAAACCTCCAAGAGGTCATTACAATAATAATGTAAACAGACTCACCCCAAAGAGGATATTTAGGGGGCAAATAACAACACAAAATGATGCTTAAATGAAGAAAATGAACCCCCCCCCAAAAAAAAAAACCTCAAGCTGCAGTGGGCTCACTACATCAAGTGTGGGTAAGGACGCAGAATGAGCACACTCACATGCTTCTGGATACAACAGCAAGCTCTATTTCAAAAACTGCATGTACCAGATCAGCCAGCAACTCTCCGTGGATGAAGAAGTGCAACGTTTTACACAACAATTACTTTGTAACAACCCACAATAGAAACAATAAAATGATAAAATGCCTACCAATAGCTGAAAGGAAGGGACCATTCTGTGAAAGCAACAACTGGAATGGTCAAAACAAAACAAAACAAAACAAAAAAAACAAACCACGGAGAAACAGCAGACCAAAAAAGTATGAGTGCATATTGGATGCTTGCATTGGTGTGACTATCTAGAGAGCAGAAATCACACCCCCATGGGTTTAGAGGACAGAAGCAGAGTGACATGGGAAAAGTGGGGACAACAGTTATGCTCAGTATCTAGATTAAGGTGATAGTTTTAGGAGGACACACATATATGATAAATACAGAATGTATCAAATTGCATACTTTGAGCAAGTGTACTTGATGCCAACTTATTACTACAGAAAGGTATTAAAATATGAGAGCTACCTGAGTTACAATATCTGACTGTGCATTCTCCATAACAAATTAGTAGTATGATCCAGTCTGCAGTTAGAGAAAAGAGAGTCAACTCTGAGCACGCTCACCTGATGATAATGATGGGTCGTCTGTATCAAATGCATGTACATGTTGTACACAAAGTTCGCCATCTGGGGCATATTCTTTATCACCTGCACTTCATGAGGTGGTCTCTCTCCATTCTGTAAGGAAGCAAAGAGGGAGTGAAGTAGCTAGTGAAGAAAACCCAGCACCTATCATTCCAATGCAAGCCCATCTCAGAATCTATAAATAGCACTAGGGTATGGAGGATATGAAATCCCAAAGTCAGATCTGGAAAGTACTTCATGAAAATCCATGAACGAATGTAAGACAACAGAGTTGAGAGTCATTAAGTTTTAAGACAACTTTGGGCTGGTAAGTAACATAAGAATTTCTGTATGGGAATTAATATCAAAGAATCATTAAGATAAGACCTCATAAATAAATAAATAAATAAATCAACATAGTCTAAAACAGTGATTCTCAACCTTCAATCCCCCACCATAAAATTATTTTTATTGTCACTTCATAACTGTAATTTTACCACTGTTATAAGTCATAATGTAAATATTTGGTAAGCAGGATATCTGATATGTAACCATCAAAAGGGTCGTGACTCAAAGGTTGACAAACACTGCTCTAAAAAGCAACAATTTCCATTACTGTCAGGAATCCAGAGAGAATCTACAATTATTTCAGACTGAAAATATTAGAACTATTTTTCTATTGATGTTTTTCTGAAGCATTTATTGTGAACACTTATTATCAATATGTAGCCTGTCAGCCAGGGAAGTGGGGTTCAAACCCTGTTGTAAACCTCGCAGCATCTGCCAGGCTCTGCCCCTGCACACAGCCCTGACCCGCAGCACCCTGCCAGCTCGATTCTGCAGGCCTGCAGCACATGAGGGGACTCTAATGGAGCAGTGTGGAGAAAGCTGACAGCGAAGCAACTGTTTCACCGCTAGAGCAGTAAAACAGAGAAGTGAATGTAGACCTGTCCTTCTTCAGCCGCCTCCGAAGATGGGCACTTTCCTATTCGCCATCACTGATCACACGCAAACTCCTATCGTTTCCTACTGTGGGGATGGATCTTGTGGAAATCTAAGACTGTGAAAACAAGTTTTCCAGGACAAAGAACGCTACCTTACAGTAGCAAGCACATAATAGTGAGTCTATAAGAGTCAAGTGTAGAGCCGCAGGGCTTTTGTGACGCCACCCCACAAGCCCCACTCCATTTCCCTCAATTTTCTCATAGCAGCATTTTTTAAAAAAACAAAACAAATAAAAAAGCAAACAGAAATGTCTTTAAAAAGAAGTGGTTAACATTACCACAAAACAAACACACTAACTTATTTTGTTTGTTTTATAGGACTGAAAAATAAAAAGTTCACTGAATATATTCAAAACAATTTCATTTAAAATTCAATTGACCTCTGGGACATTTCAATAAGTGGAAAAAAACAAAACAATAAAACCCAAACTCTGTAGCATGCTCTAAGAAAAGAAAGTAACAGTAATCGTGCGTCTGCGCCTTTGTGTGCAAGAATGTAAAAATGAACTCCATTTTACTCTATCCTAGAGGAAGAGTAGTGAGAAAGAGGAGCAGGGAGGGGGAGAGAGAGGGTTAAGCTGCATGTGTTTTCCTGCCCCACCACCCAGGACGCAAGCTTTGTAAGAACTAAACTAGATGACTGTTAACTGACAACAGATGGACGAGAGGAGGTGTTATGAGGTGATTACAACAGGAATTCTTGAGTCACACTGCCTGCTTACAAGTTCTGGCTCCTCCGCCTACCCGATGCATGGTAAACTGTTTAACTTCTCCCATTCTTATCTTCTGCACATGTACAGTTAGGATAGCAGAAGCTCCTGGGCAGCTGTGCTACTGAGACCAATGAGATGATGAATGTGTGGAGTTCATTTCTGAGATGCAGTACGTTTCAGTAAGTGTTGGCATATATTAGTTTTATAGTTCTTTGATGTAAGGAGCATTTCATATTGGTGACAGGGTATTCTCGAAAAAGTGGCCAACTATAAGAGAACTCCACAGTGATGAAAGGCCTACCTTTCTGGAGGTTGGGAAAGGTTCTGTTGGAATGATATGCAAATGCAGAGGGCGAGCAGTGAGCTGGCTGAAAGCAGGAGTCAGTTCAAAACAATTTTGGAAGAGGGACACTCTAGCGAAGATATACAGCCCAAGTCTGGCTCTTGACATGGCTACCACCAAACGACGGACATCCCTTTAGGAAACAAAAGAATTTGCATAGTTTGAAATTAATAATGTATCTATGCAGCCTTTTCCTTCTTTTACATAATCCACTAAATAGTCTCATTATAAGTTACTGCAATAAAAACATTAAGGACTTAATAGGCATAAAGCAAATTAATGTATATGATCAGTAAACCAAGTAAGTGAATGAATGCTTCAATGATACCATCTTTAGTGCGTTTGTGCATTTGTGAGACAGACAACCAGCGCACTTGTCTGAAAGGAGCCCTATCCAGAATCATAGCGGTTCAGGTGACAGTCACCAATTACCACATCACCATCACTATGACAATTACCTTCTTCCACTTTTTTGCCTAGCAAATTCCCAGGTTCTATCAAATATAATTTTCCTTCCTAGAAAATTGACCAGTTTTACTTTAGAGAAGTAATTCCTCTCGCTTCTCTTCACATTCCTAAAGCAGAGGTATGCAGAGGTCCAAACACTGGTAAGTGCTAGAACTCCTTAGTAGGAGTTCTCTCACAGAAACAGAAAGGAAAATGTAAAAATGCCATCTAGGAAGAAACGGAGTGTTGGAGGAAGGAAGCAGTTTATACTATTACTGTGCTGGGTTTCCGTGGCACGTCCAGGAGGCTCTAGCTCTGCATATAAGCAGACACACAGCACTGCACGTCCTTCTGTGAGAACACTGACTGCAGTCTTTGGCTAAGAGGCTTTTATAAGTGTCAGCTCCACAGAACATGAGAAGAATGCAACTGAAGTTTTGGGCACATTCAAGTAAAGGAGTCTTCCCAATTATTTGAATGTGTCCCACACTGGGCTCCAAACTGCTCACAGGTAGAGATCATAAAAGCTAAATTTATTTCTATATATCCAGAAGCAAGAACATTGCCAAATTACAGATGGTTAAAGGTGTTTCTAATCAAAAAATCCAGAGATGCACGGCAATGCTGAAACCCCTTCTTTCTAAATCTCCCATTCATAATTGTTTTTAGTTTTCAAAAAATCACACAGTAGTCACTACAGAACTCAAGTTAATGAATTAAAAAAAAGGGTTTCTTTTTATTGCACATGACTGGGTGTTTTGTCTGTAGGACTGGTACCCAGAGGAAGAAGGGGACAGAGAAATCACATATTCACACTTGAAACTCGGAGGTCAACAAAGACGGCCATTCAGACAGCAGTTACGTCAGCTAGGAAAAGAAACTGTTTCAGGAAAGACCTAACTCTATGCTTGATATTTCAATAAGCAAAAGTAAGCTAACTTTAACGCTATCACTTTGTAACAATTTCTTAAAACATTATTGTCTTTGCTTACTCTTCCATAAAGGTTATCAGTCTAATAGAATCTGACCTGAGGCCCAAAGAGATCTGGACTTAATGACAATTTATGAGAGCTTGGAGAACCTTCTCTTTATATTCATCTAATAAATTAAGACAGTGAACTCAGGCTCTCCTGAGTTTTGCTAGTAAGTCACATGAGATGAAGATTTATATAAAACCAAATGGCTGCTTTGTAATAAGAAGATATTACTCCCATAAATCTCTAATACATAAATACATCACAGAAATGATAAAAATAGGCTATTGTTTGTTTGGACCATTCTTAATCCTGGGAGAACAAATGGCTCCTTTATCCTCTCATGAAGCTGAAAGATGGTAGGGAGAGAAAAACCAAAGCCTTATTCACTGAAAAAAATGCTCCTGAAGAGGCCCCTTCTACCTTAGCTTCTTTGGTTCCTGACACTGTTCCTACCAGATCCAAGACTATTGAGATCCTACGGCAACACCTTCTCTCTGCATGTAAAGAAATGGTGAAGAAGCTGCAATTACTACAGTTATGAGGTGATACTTGGTAGGAACAGCACTGATAAACTACACAAGGGGAGATGTTATTACCACAGAGACTACTACAAGCTGCATAATCATTACTTATAGAAAGCAGCTGACAAATTTAGAACGATGTTGTCCCTGACTCTCCAAAATGAAACAGACATAACTTTTAGGAAGAGTATAGCGTCTGAACGTCACGCACCTCAGATGGCCCACAGCCCTGGTCCGCACTAGAGAAAGGAGGATGTAATCGTTCTGCTGACCTTGGAATCTATCGACAGTTGTCACCTAGGAAGAAAAGGTGGGGAATGAGCATATTTTCAAAAGTACAGCAAGGCATTACCTAAACAAAATGCTGGAAGCAAGCATCTTACCTTTAAAATTATCTCAGAAAAAAAACCTACCTGCATCAATTCTTGCTTGGAATTAGAGCAGAAGCCAGTGAAGCCACTAAAGCACAGGGAGCACCCTGGGTCACGCCTTCCTGTCACTCACACTCTCGTCTGCTGCACTTGTCTACCACTGCTGACAATTAAAGACCTGTTCTTGCTTTCTGTCGTTAGGCTGCCAAGCCCCAGAAGGCAGGCCATGTTCAGCTGATTAAGTGGCCCCCAAACACTCAACAACTCACTTATTATTCCATGTGTGCCCCCAGTATTTGTTCATAGCATTCTTGTCAAAGTGAAAAGGAAATCTTCACAGTACTTTTTATTCAGCTGGAAAGCATCCATATGAATAGGGAGAGAGGCTCATCAAGATTCTAGCCACCAATTCTAACTCTTAGGCCTTCATCCCTGCTCTATGAATTCAACAAAGAGTACTGATTCGCCTACAAGAATTACCAGTACGGTTCCTCTCATTTTAGGAAGTCTATAAAACATTTCTTTGGCCTTCACAGAGATACAAATTACGTACAACGAGTTCTGACATACTACCACCACAATGCCCACCACCCCGGGCCCTGCTATAAACAAGCAGGCAACTTCCCAGCTTCAGGCAGTCCCTGATCTACTTACTTCATTTTCTGCTGGCTTTGAGCAAGCACAGAAGGGGAGCCCAATAGCATAGGCTTCTGTGTTGTACATAGAGATGTTCACTCTGTCCTGCTGCTGAGCAGCCTGGCTTCCGTTAATGAACATGCTTGTTAACGGACACTAGAGTTCTTTTTACTTTATGGATACTTAGAACAAAGCTACACTGAGTATTCAATTTGTTTTTGTGGACATGGTTTCATTGCACAAAGTGGAATTGTAAGGCTATGTTAAGTGTATGCTTAACTCAATAAACTGTCAACCTATTTCTTAAAGTTTCTGAATCCATTTATACACTCACCAGCGATGACCCAGTGCCCAAATTCCAGCTGCTCCACTGCCCAACACTATCAGCTTTTATAATTTTAACCATTTTGTGGATGTGTTGAATCATCATATTGTATTTATAAAAATTTAATTTAATTGTATTCAGAGACTCATGCAGCCAAAGCTACAAATATAATAAGAACTGGGGATGGCCTTGAAGTTCTGATCCTCTTGCCTCCACCTCACCAGGGTCAGGATTCCAGGCATGCGCCACAGTGCTGTGTTCATGTGGTGCTGAGTATGGAAGCCAGGGCTTCACGAATGCTAAGCCAGCACTCTGCAGACTGAACTGCTTCATTTACGTCTTCCTGACAGTTAATGACGATAGTGACAACTAGTTGTTACAGGGCAGGGATGCTTTAGTGGCTATTTTTAATCTTCCAAGAAATATGTCCTGTTCACTAGACCATTTTATAGTAGTCTGTCTTATTCAAAATGACTCTTATTAGAACTGACCATTTTGAAGCAAGTCTTATGTGTAGACACTATACATGAAAATTCTGTTGCCATCCTGACCTTCTAGTAAGTTAGCTTGTGAGACAAAGTGGAGCAATATAAACAACTTATAAATAAATGCAAACCTTGCCCAAAAGGTGAATATGAAACATATTACACCCATAAACTACCTTGTTTGGCCTTCCGATCAATGGATTATTCCCGCATCGCCTATTGATGATGTCCCGAATAAGGTGCTTTTGTCCATTGTACGTTGTCAGAATACTGATCTTGTCTGCAGGGTAACCAAGCAAGCACATGTACATGAAGAGTGCCACTACATACTCTGCTTCTCCAAGGTTCTGTAACGCAAGCACAGCCACACTGGACATTAAGTTCCCTATTTTCTACTTCATAACAGCTGCAAGAGGCTTGCCTATCTATCACCTACTTATTTTCAGCACATCTGAAGTGAAAAGTTAATAACCTGGATAGAAAACCGAAAGTTTTTGATAAGTTGAAGGAAAGACTTGTTCTAGGTTAATATTGATAAAACCCTGATGTCTGTAATATATTTGTAGCAGAGGACATAGAGGTAAATATGCCTGGGGCCATAAGAATCATGATATATAGTCTGTACAACATACTATAACTGCAGATGTGGAACCAAATATTAATATTAAGGGGTGAGTTAGCTAGGAGCCCATACAATGTCCAGTCTAACTGGATGTCCAAGTAGCAATATTACAACTGACTGCACTGTGCAGAGCTTTTCCAGCCTCTCCTGCCTCCTGACGACTCCTGTGAGCTTGGTCCCCCTGTCTCCCTTTACCACCTGAACTGGACTCATCAGGTGAGATGTGCTCTCAAGCTGGCAGTCTGGCTTACGGCTAAGTTCGAGCTTCTGGGTAAAGATGGGTGATATGGAGCTTAAAAGCAAGGGCTTTACTGAACTTCAAAGTGAGAAATCTGACCCAGAGCTACTTAATCCAGCTCAGCAGTGACCAAGTTCAAGCATCAGACAAGAAAGTAAAACAAGAACACAAGCACATCCTGAAAAGAAAGCACAAAGATAAGAAGCTGGATTCCAGGCAAAGGCAAGAGGAAAATTACTGGATGAACTTCAGAGACACCATTTATATTCAGGTTCCTGGTGACAGACAGCCTCAATTATCTTTCATTTAAATTCTCTAGTTCTTTGGAAGACAGGAGACAAAAGAAGCCACATGACTGTAAATCTCCATTTTCTATATTGGTAGCAAAACACATTTATCTAAGGATGAGCTCCAATATAGATAGAAGAGCAAACCAGGGGCCATAGAAATGACCTTATGTAATAAATGTTAAGACTGAATAAAATTCAGTTTTGATTCAGGTATTTTTGGCAAGATCAGTGCACTGAGTTCTCAGCAAATAGAAGACAATTCTTTATTTATGTGAGCAATGAATATCGCTTAGTTCAGCACACTGCTTGAGTCAGATGTGAAGTTTAACAGACAAACAAGTATACTTAATGAACATTTTAGAAGCTGGGCCAAGTAAGTCAAGGTTGCTTCAACTTAGGGAGTTTTATTCATTTTTCATTTATTCTCTCAGACACTGATTTTTAAAAATGTATTGTTTAAATGCACATTGATCATATTGGGGAAGGTTAGGATTTCAATACTTCAGAAATACATTTAACCAATAGCAATCATCATTTGAGAATACCCGTATTTCTTGATATACTGAAAACTCACCCAGAGATAGAATTAACAAGTAAGGAAACAGATGAGTAACCTGGATACCATTTCAGATCAATACCATTTGGTGGCTTAGGCAGGACTCAGAACCACTATATAATGAAGCTATCAAGAGACACCAATCAACTCCGGAACTCCTTCAAAGGTAGGTATCAGAAAACATGTTTCTACTTTGAATAAGGCTCTAAACGTGTTAGCATTTAAAGGTCACATGTGTTTTAAGTATATGAGAGAGTAACATCAGTATTTCTCATGTGTAGAACAGGAAAAATCTGATAACTGATTTAAATTACTTATTTTCAAACTAATTTGTAGTGAAAATATTTCAGTATTTTAAGTCTTCATATATGCATCCAACTTCTGGTTAAAAATTATTAAGGAGTGAGAACAGTGTTTTTTTTCTACATATGACAACTTACGCTTCCAATTATTTTCCTACTAGAATTGCAAGATCAAGTACTGTCTGACTTTGTGATTAACTACTAGTAGGGATTTACTTATTTCTTTCTAGGTGAGGTGTTTCTCTTTTCTGTTGGTGTAATATTTTTAAAGGTTTATTTTTATTTTATGTATGTTATATATGCTCGTGTGTGTGTGTGTGTGTGTGTGTGTGTGTGTACACACACACATGAGCACATGCTACCCACAGAAGCCAGAAGAGGGCACCAAATACCCTGGAACTAAAGTTATGGATCACTATTAAGCTGCTTTATGGATGCTGGGAGATGAACCCTGGTCCTCTACAAGATCTGAAAGATCAGCTTCCTAGCTGCTGAGTCACCTCTCTAGCTCCAAGAGTATTGTTTTTTTTTTTTTTAAAGCAACTGAGTTCTAACAAATTTTAGTTAGAAACGTCAATATATTTAATTTACATTTATTTTTTCAAATCAATTAAGGGTTTTCTTTATTATTTTTAATTTATTAAAAAGAAGGCCCTTTCTTACCACATCACTACATACTTGTCAATATTTGCTTTTAGTACTTTCTACTGAGTTTTTAGTTATTCTTTGTGCATCTTTGACCCTTCTGAAACTGACTGCGTTTGTGTGGTAAGGTGAGGTTGTAACCTTTCTTTTCCTCCATGGCTGCCTACATGACTCAGTATTGCTGAATTTCAGGTACTTCAGCTGGGCAAATGCAAGACAAACTCCAGTGTCACGAGGTGTTACCTGATAGAAGTAAGGGTTAGGCTCCGATTCTCCCACTCCCTGGAAGTCTTCCACATTGATGAGCTGGAAGTCATAGAGCAGGCCAGCATTGGCTGTGCTGAACTCTGGCAGAAGCTGCACATGTGGTAAGTTGCCTAAGTTCTTGTAGCGCCAGTTGTAGAGGTTACACAAGCTGTCCCAAGACAAAGAGCCCCCGAACACAGAAGATTAGCAAGGTGGGACCCTTCAGGATACAAAAGGATATTTTAAGGAGCCACAAATTTTCGTTGCCAAGTTTGTTTATCTTTTTTAGCAACACTACTTTGGCAACTTTAGGCTACTTGTGGAATGAAGATGTTCCAAAAAGGATGGCTCTCCTGTGCTCCCGTGTAAGCACTGCTGCTACGTCATAACCCGCAAAGCCTGTAAGTGGGGACACTGGAGGACCTGGGCGGTGGCTGGCATTCCTTATGGAGTTAAACCACAGTTTTACTCTTGTTTACTTTTGCTTTAGGTTTTATAATTACATTAAGGCCATATCTTTTGGAGAGAGGATGGAGTGAAGCCCCTTTAATCCTTAATATCAATTAATGAAGAAAACAACTGACTTGGTCAATATATACTTTATATAATAGGCAATAAACATGGTTTCAGATTTGTAGTAGGTAGATTTATAAATCTTAGAAGAGGCTAAATTTTATGTAAAAGATGTTTCAGGGAGCCTATATTAATTAGTAGTGAATCTTCACCTTGCCCTGGCTCTCCCTTGAGCATCGAGGTCCACAGTAGGGACACCAACCCGCACAAAGCGAGTGAAAAGAGACTGCTCCATATTTGAGTACTTCTGAAAGGCCATGTTCTTAATGACTGGAGGTAACTGGTGGTGATCACCGATCATAATCCATCGTTTCAATCGGCTGAATCCATCTTGAGGGTTCTAGAAATGAAAATTGAAGAAACACCAAAATACTGTAATTAATACATTACTAACAGGGTTCTAGCTTACCAAACACAAGACTTATTATTCATCACATGACTTCATTAATTTACAAATTCTCAGCCCTCACCAGCTCCATGAAGGAGCCTATCAAATGCACAAGATGAGTTAGTTGGCAAAGAAGCAAGGGTGACTGGGGCTATTGACTGACAGCAAGAGTGGGTGAAGGTCTGAGAAGGCCTTCAACAGGGTAATCAGAAGACACCTTGAAGGTTAAGGTCAGCATTATGCAAAACATAAATAAGGAGAAACGTGCCCAGAAACATAAGTGGAAAGATGTCAAAGTGAATACCTGGTATCAAAAGTATGACGAGAAGTTTTAAAGATCTTGAAAGTAAAAACCATACCACTAATAGTTTTGTATACTATTAACTTCATTTTCTTACTCTACATGCCCCCCTGTTCCTGGAAATATATCCTGCATCAGATATAATAAACATTAAATTTTATATGATAATTTATAAAAGCAATTTGACAGCTAAATTTATATGTAAATTAAGTACTATCTAGTATTTTTTTGGTAATTACACATTTTGTTTTAACACTTCAATAATAAAGAACATATAGCAAAAAACATTCTGAAAATACTACTACTTGGTTTTAATTTTAGGCATACAATTAAGAAAAGCAATTTCTCCAGAGAACACTAGAAACAACCATAGAAACATCTCTAACAAAAACAAAAAACCAAAAAAAAAAAAAAAACACCAAAAGAACCCCACAGGTAATTCATCTTCCCTCCAAATAACATAATAATGTAATTTTCTTGATTAAAACTCATCTTTTAAGCCGGGCAGTGGTGGCACACTCCTTTAACCCCAGCACTTGGGAGGCAAGAGGCAGGCACACCTCTGTGAGTTCAAGGTCAGCCTGGTTTACAAGAGCTAGTTCCAGGAAAGGCTCTAAAGCTACAGAGAAAGCCTGTCTCAAAACAAAAAACAAAAAGAAAACCCAACTCATCCTTTAAAAACCATATAAACTGTGTATATAAAACTGTGTGTGTATGTGTATATGTGTGTGTATATATAAACCATGACTATTTTTTATTTCTATTATTTTTTGAGACAAGGTCTCATTATATAGCTCTAGCTGTTTTGAACTCACTATGTAGACCATAGTGAGCTTCTGCCTCCCAAATGCTGAGGTTAAAGGTGTGCACCACCATGCTTGGCTTAAACCACAGATTTTAAAACATCTCTCAAAGGGAATACAAAGCCATGAGTAGATCAGAGAAAGAGTTTACAGGCTGAAAAATGGGACAACAAAGTGAGAGCACAAACCGCAATAACCAGCATCCTAAGTACAGCTTAGAATGCTGATGCCCAAGATTCTCAAAAATCTGTCTCTGACCTTTATTTCTTACCTGTAGAAGAAGAGGTATGAAGGTTTCTATCTCCAGAATCTGAGCAGCCTCTTCCATTAAAATGTTGTCATACTAAAAAAGAAAATCTTGTCAAACTGAAAACCCAAGTAGTTACCACCTTAGGCCTAAAACTGGTCAAAAGCCTTAATAATTTCATAGTAAAAGAACAATGTATAACCTATGCAATCTAGCTCACATTCTGACAATTCTCCATCGCCCTTAACCTCACAAGGTGAATGTTTACAGATCTGTAAAGTGAGGGTTTTGGTGAGTACTGCTAGCAGTGACAAAGACTCTGAAAATTCAAATTTGTGATTCAATTATTATGTTCCATTTTAACTGAGTTGTAACCTCCCCATTTGTCATACAGTAAGTCATTTTAATATCTATAGTGATATTTTATTTATGTTTTATATTAATAAAGCTTGCTTGAAGGTGAAACTAAGCCACTAGAGGCCAGGCAGTGGTGTCACACACCTTTAACCCCAGGATTTGGGAGACAGAGGCAGATGGATTTCTGTGAATTCAAGACCACCCTGGGCTACACAAGATCAATGCAGGAAGAGATCCAAGTGGTGATGGCTCACACCTCTAATCCCAGTTCTAGGGAGTCACACGCCTTTAATCCCAGCACTGGAGAAGAATGTAAGGCGGGTGAGACAGGAACTCGTGCTCTTTCAGTCTAAGGATTTCTTCAAGTTAAGAGTTCTCTAGTGGCTGGATATTTTGCTTTTCTAATCTTCAGGTTGAACCCCGATATCTGCGTCTAGGTTTTTATCATCTGTGTTACAATATCTCATCTGACGGCATAAATAAAGTCATTGTACTGAACAGACAGTGGGGCTGGATACACGCTTACTATGTGAGTAGTGTTTGTAGATACATGTCTCGGGGAAGGATTCGGAAATACTACTTTCATAGCTTTTAGATCTGTTTAAACATTTATTTTAAATAAGTGATACCCAGAAAACCTGAAACCTTAACTATGATGATTTAGTTAGACAATTAAATGATAGATGCTAATTGGAAGACATTACTCAAAAATTAGATTTAGCTTCATTAATCATTTAAATATTACATTATCACAAACTTCTGAAAAAGAGCTTTATAAGTGAATGAATCCCCAAGAAAGAAGTCTAGATCATCACAAAAGAAAAGAGTGAGGAAATGAAGACCCAATGAGATGATGCCTTAAGATGGAAGTCTTTACCTTGAAACCCAACTTCACCAAATCATGTCGCTTCAAGGCAGCATGAGTACAGGTCATAGCAATGATTTTGGCTTCTTTTACCAACAGGTATTTAGATCTATCCAGTCCACTGCGAAGCAGTTCCGAGGCTCTGAATTCCTACAGAGTGAACACCAACAAGAGACAATGCTAGACTAACAGTTCGTGTGTACACAACCACAAGCCACCTAATCAGACAGTTCTTGAGATATTGTTAATACAATAAATGTAAACCAAGCCTAATAAACCATAACAAAATAAGCTAAGCCTAATGAGTTAAATTCCTTTTGTTATTTGGTTGCCAGTTGAGTTCAAATAAGAGCTTATATTCAAGCTATAATTTGGATCTTTTTGCTTATAAAGTACTGTATTTACATTATAAAAAAGCGCTGAGTAAATATCAATTATCAACATACCTGCATTATTCAAAGTCCCTCTGAGAAAAGAAAAACTATTTAATATATTCCTACCAAACAGCAAACAACTGGTTATACAAATAACAAAAGACTAAAAAGCCAGCTAAGAGGATGAATTAATCTAGAGATTGGCAACAGCAGGGAAGTCACTGTTACTACTAGAGTAGGAAGGATAAAAAAGAGAAGGGCGTGTCATCACAGCCCAGGGACTTGGGCTACCCCACCAGCTGGAACTAACTATAGTAGGCTAACCTAAAAGCAGAGGGAACTGAAGCTGGAAACTCTGAACTATCTCCCCCTCCTACAGCACCTCTCAGGACAAGGCTGGATCTAGCGAAAAGGCCGATTATGAAGGCAGGGCCATTACATCTTCAAGGATTGGAGTGAAGCTCAGCTGTGGCAGAGGAGGGTCAGGTACAACAGTATCAGGGCACCAGACCTGAACATTACACACACCTACTTTAATTTTCTTCCTTAACATTTTGTTTCTCAAATAACTTAGGCATTACTGATTCAGGTGAGGTGCTCTGAATACCCCTCCCTGCACTCTGCAAGAAGGCAGCTGCTACTATGTACTGAACACATTTTTATCCTATGATGTTTATGTAATAGCACTATAATTTTCAGGTGTAAAATTGTTATTATCCTATATATCCACCTACCTACTTTTAAGTGTTAGTATTTACCAACTATGTGCCACATACTAGGAAATGGGATGGAAGCATATTTAGAAAATAAAATGAGGACTACTGAGAAGTCAAGAACAATGGCAATGGGTTTTTGATCCTACTGCACATACTGGCTTTGTGGGAGCCTAGGCAGTTTGGATGTTCACCTTACTAGACCTGGATGGAAGTGGGTGGTACTTGGACTTCCCACAGGGCAGGGAACCCTGATTGCTCTTTGGGCTGATGAGGGAGGGGGACTTGATTGGGGGGGGGAATGGGAGGCGGGGGCGGGGAAGAGACAGAAATCTTTAACAAATAAATAAATAAATTTAAAAAAAAAGAAAATAAAAGAGATATAAAGTCCCTCTTCTTTGAACCTGGAGTGACACCCTCTACATGTTCTTACTAAGAAACAAACTCAAAGATGACTGTTCAAAAAACTGCTACAAGGAGTGTTTGTCATGGGGTCCCCAAAAAGGGGGTACAACTGGCTCTCAGTCTTCTCTATCTCCTGTGTGTAATCATGGTTCCTGCTTCACTTCCATATCAGGATAAAGCATCCTGGCTAATATAAGAACTTTATTTTGTCTGTTGATCACGAGGAACTAAGAAATGGCATGTCTCAAATTCCCATTCAAAGAACTACAGTAGTTTCCCGAGAGGCTGTGATATCAACAGCTCCATTGGCAGAGTGCTTGCCGACTGTGTACAAAGCGTGGGGTTCAGCCTCATTGCTGTATAGATTAGCCGTGATGGTACACATCTGCAATTCCACTGCTCAAGAGGTACAGGAGAATCAGAAACATAAAGTAATTTGCAGCTCCACAAAGAATTTGAGATGAAAAAGAAAAGCAAATTCTAATGGAAACATTGCTTTCTTAAATAAAAGGGACATAACTCATTTTAATTCTTGCTTATTTCTTAACTAAAACTCTACCTGGCTGAGTGTGGGAAGGCAGAGGCAGAAAGATTTCTGTGAGTTTAGGCTAACCTGTTTATTTATGTAGAAAGTTTCACGCCAGTCAGGGCCTACAAAGGAAACTATTTCTCTCTCTCTTCTCTCTCTCTCTCTCTCTCTCTCTCTCTCTCTCTCTCTCTCTCTCTCTCTCATATACACACACACAGTAAATATTTTCAAAACCTTTTCTTAATCTAACAATTTGGTTTGCAATATCTGACTATTTAATTTGCCTCACTAAAAAGATAAACAACAAACATTTAAAGAAACATTAAAACAAGTTGAGAAGTGAGAAGCCTTACTTCAAGCTGAGTGAAGATTTTCTTAATATGCCTGAAGCACCCTTCAGCAATTTCCATATCTTCTTCATAAGATCGCCCTTTAAAGATGGGTTGAGGAGCATTGGCAAAATACTCATGGAATGGGAAGAATGTGGCGACCTCTGCGGCGTCTGGCGAGGTGCTCCCTGTGTTTTTCACTCTGCTTATGTATTCTTCCCAACGTGACATTACCTGTAGGAAAACTCGAGTTGTACTTTGCTGGCTGGGTTATAAAGCTAGTGAAAACAAACTAAACAGTCTGACTCTAAAGCAGACTACTTTGCAAGACAGTGTAAGTTTTTGTTTGTTTCACAAAACCCATAAAAATCTCATTTTGAATGCACTCAAGTGGTTTGGGCAGGTTGACCTTTCTCTCATATTTATAAAAATTTTCAGTTATAACATTTCTACAATACACAAACCACATGACTACAATGAGAACAAGTAACATAAAATCAGCACTAGTCTATGATTATATCTTAATTCACTTGGAGTTCTTAGTGATGCAAATGACTTACCGTTTATTCATTTATGTGGTTTCTTATTTCTCAATGGTTTTCATGCTCAGAAAATTATCTTAACAAAATCACAGCCTTTTGAAATTAATAAGTTCTAAGTGATACTTTATTTCTATGTGTTAAAAAGAACAACATGCTTTCCCTTGTTAGTTAATAATAAAATTATGTCTTTTATACTTTGCTATGACTGGGTAGGTAGGATATTTAGTTACATTATTTAGTGAGGCAGTGAGAGAATGAGAATAGCAAAAAAGAAAGAAAATGATTTCAAATGTAGTAATATAAGCTTTAATTCAGAGTTACTAATAAAGAAAATTGAACCATAAAATATGAAAACACAGGGCCTGGTGAGATGGCTCAGGATAAAGGTGCTTGCTACCAAGCCTTAGCTTGACCTCTGGAGTTCACAATGTGAAAGGAGAGAACCAACCCACAAAGCCATTCCCGCACAGACAAAATAAATAAGTAAATGCTAAAACAAAAACAAAACAAAAATCCCCAAACAAGTTGAAGTAATAATATGAACACAGAATGTTCCTAATTGTTTTGGAAATGCCATATATTATAAAAAACAGCAGTAACATTTCAAAAGAAGTCTCCAGAAATCAGGTCACTTTCCACTTGAGATGATTACTATCAAGTCCACCCCTTGAGTCCTACCTGGTACAGGAAGAAATAGCCTGCAGTTTCACAGGTATATGAGGCATCCCCTGGAACCCCCAGACTCTTCTGTAATCGCTTGACTTCTTCTAAAAGTTCTATTCTTCGAGCCAGGACATAATTAACTCTCCCATACCTAGAATTATCAAACAAGGAAGAAGGAAAAGCTGTAATGAAGAAACTGATGAAATCTACCAACAGATTTCAAGAAGCATCACAGAAACTATAAATGATTAGAGAGAAAGAAAAAGAAAGCCCAGTTTAACTTATTTAATTATGAATGGTGGATAAGTTAAACTATAAGTGTTATATCTTGGGCCACACTACAGGGAGGTTATTTAAAGTATAACTGAAGATCTGGTACTTATGTTAACAGTCTGAGCAGAGAGAAAAATCAATCAAGCAAGCTATCAATTTTTTTGTAGCTATATCAAAACTTCCATATATGTTATAGTGCATCCTGGAGCAGACCACTAGGCTAGGAACACAGAGTGGACAGACTGCGCACTTTGAACAGCACTGCTCTGCTTAACTATTCTAAAAGCAGAATATTTCAGATGCTTTGAAAAGTAATTTAAAAATGCATTCTGTGTTATCTGTATTTTCTAGTGGACAGTCTGGCACTCAAACCTAGTTGAATGAGTAAGAGTTTGGGAGTTGCTTGTCCAAAGATACAAGGCAATAAACCTAGTAGAAACAGAATTAGACCGAGTCTCTACACACTCTTTGCACAACACCTCAGTGTCTGAAAGATGAGTAAGCAGTCTGATCATGTGACGGCCCTGACAAAGGAAGAGTCCTGTCTCTGAGTTTCTAGGTCTTACAGTGTGCAGAGGCTCACCTGGAGCAGCAAGGAACAGGCGCTGCTATATACTTATATTTCCCCTTTCTTCCCTCCTTTCCCCATAGTGTTTTAACCCAGGCGGGCAGATATCTAGTCTCCTCTTTCTATGCCTCCCCAATCACAGGGTCACACGCTACCATCATTACACTAAGAAAACAGGTAGGTGCTCTGAAGAACGAAAAGTTGAAAAAAAACTTAAGTTGTATGTGGATATGATATGTAACTTTTTTCTGTTTGCTTATCCATAAAATTTTTCTACAGTAGACACTTTGGTAATAGCCAAAAAAATAAAAATAAATAAATAAATAAATAAATAAAATCTAAAAAAAAAGGAAAAGAAAAATCAAGGAATGATTTTAAAACTAAGTTCCACTGGACTGCAATTTTAAGCATTCTCTTAGTGTTATGTTCACTGAATTCTGAACAATATGTAGTGCGTAACTCATCTTAGTTTTTAAACTTATATAATTAGTACTTTGTGCATGCATGGATGTAAGGCAAAGGGCGGCTCTGTGGAGTCGGTTCTCCTCCCACCACAAGGGCACAGGCACCTGACCAGACCGGCAGGCTGGCGTCTTCAGGTGGGAATCACCTCACACATTATCTGAACTACTCTACTGTACAAACGGCCTTGATGTGAGGAAACACCTATGGGAAGATTTCACAGGGATCACCAAGTGATCCAACCCAAGAATCTAGTGCCTCATTGACTTACACTGTGCTGTTCTCTCTGTGCAACACTAACACTTTATAAGCTAAGTATTTGGTGAACTCTGAATAAACATAACACAGAGATATAACATGCTTTTGATGTCTATTATCACTTTAGGTCAATGGTCATATTAATCAAACAAAAGATACACTACACCTATTAATTGTGCTTTTTATCTGAATTTCTATATAACTGAAATGAGTTGTTATAATTTCTATATAAGTGAAACAAACAATTACTTGTAGAAAAAGTTAGATTTGCACAATTTTATTCCACTTACAATGAGTAATATTAAATTATTAAATACAGGGATAACCACGAAGCTAAAGTGCACCCTGCCTATACTTTTGGGTCAACCAATATACAGATTAAGTAAGTAGGTGACACTAGAATCTTAGGAATCAAGTTTGGATATCCACATCTCTTTCCTCGGTATTTTTTTAAAGGAGGAAAATGTTGAAAGTACTTTTGTGTATATTTCAACGTTCACCTCCATTCTCTTACCTGCTAAAATCTTTCTCTGTCTCCAGCTCTTCTTCTCCATGACCCAGACGCAGGAGGTGCCTCTCATCTATGTCTAAAGCCATGATTTTCTCAAACAGCTGGTTCAGAGCCTGGTCAGTAGGGCAAATGGATGACAGTGAGTTTAAACAGAACAAACACTAGTCTCTAGAAGGGGACGGTAATGTTCAGTTACATTAAGAATCAAAATCCAAACTGAACAAAGCAGGTTTAATATGAGGCCATGTATAAACTTTTAACAAGATTACATTTAATAATGAATCTTGTATTTGCATTATGTACACTTGGTCAAATGAATAACTGGAAATTATGAAAACTACCTACACTTTACATCTCTATGTCTAATTTATAAAAAGAGAATGTAAGGCACTAGTTAAGGGCTAGTTTCTCCCAGTGGTGAGTTTCATTTCAATACCAACAGTATTACAAGTGCTGGTGAGGATGGAAAATAACTCAGTAATGCAGAGAAAGGGCAGTGAGACGTCAGGGCACGGGGCGTGCAAGGGCAGATTCGCTATGTGGGCCAGAGAAAGAGCAAGTAAATGTTCAGCTCTCTCTATACAGTGACCAGAGAGCACTTTCTGCTATAAACTGCTCTGAGGAAAACCATTTAGAACCCACTTCTCTCTTCCTCTGAAAAGTTTATGTTAAGGGTTCTCTCAAATCCTAAGACGTTTCTCCAACCTCTGTGGGTAGGGAAAAGTTTTGAATAAAGGCAAAAAAAAAAAAAATTCAGCAAGGTAAAAGTCTGGTAATTTGGGAAGATACACTAAGTAAAGGCATCATTTACAGCATTAGCCACTGGTCAGCCTCCATCCTCAGTTATCACTAGTCCAAGTCTGCCCCTCCAGCTAATATACATATTCAGGCTCCAGAATGTTATATGTAGCCTTTGCTGCCCAAACTGTAGCAGATCCAAGAATGGAAGGCATTGCTTTTTTTTTGTAAATTTAAAATTCCCATTATCTGGCTTTTCATACTGTTCAAATCTCAGAACCAAATCAATTGGACTGAACTCAATCAATTGTACTGAACCCAATCAATTTGTTATCCATACTAAGAACTGAGGCAGAAAAATTATATATTGTAAATTCAGAAAAACTTCAAGATTTCCTTTTGAGATAGTAAGTATTGGAGAAGTGCTTAGATGAGGCAGCCAAGTGAACACCCAGTAAATAAAACAGTTAACAAGTCAAATGAAAATCAGCCCTCTGACAGACACCAAGGTGACTGAATTCCAAAGGACATCAGCCTTAGCAACAAGGGCGTCTTTGGTGTTTCTGCCACAGACCTTCTCCAGTACTGCTATCCAAGCCCATCCTAAGTAGCCCGCACAGTAACAGGTCCTAACAAGGCACAAGACAAAGCTTAGTCAGAAATGCTGTGAGATAAGGCATGACTTACTGTTTGTGCACCTTAAGAGCTTTCTAACAGGACTCTACACTAAACTTTATTAAATAGAAAGAAGAAAAAAGCCCTAGAACTTATTTTATTGCATTTATTCAGGTGGGGAACAAATTAACTCTTCCCAAATCAATAAGTAAAAGAATTCGGCATACTGTACAAACTACCACTATGTAAAAATTTCAGAACTACGGTAAGTATGCCAGATGAATGAACTGTAGTATTACTAAAAGTAAATAAAAATGCAAATCAAACAAACAACAGAATGAATGACAATCCAGAAACTGTAGTTCACTGTAAACCAAAATCTCTAAAGATGCACCAACTGCAGTCACCGGCAGACTGAGAGTTAGCTCCCCCAGGTTAAGGGGAAGCAGTTTCACCATGGGTGGGGATCCTCTGTGAGCTGCTGGTCAAAGTTATGCCCCAGCCAATGAAGAATACTATTCTTCACTGTCCTGACACCTTCAGAAGGATTAACAGAGCACACAACGATCTTTTGTGTAACAGAATCACATGTACCTACTAAGGTATTTAAACAGTCTGGTACTCACACACTTTAGATCTCTGAATCTGAGGAATACTCATTCTATTAAACAAAAAGAAATACTAGCAACAGGGTAATTAATGCTTTCAATCTCAAAATGAAAAGTCCTGAGTATGGGCATGTGCATGCACACATACACTGACAGACAGACAGACAGACAGACAGACAAAGACACATGGAAAGTCAATTACCTGATTAGAATGAGTGACAATTAAAGTTCTCTGTTCTGGAAAATTGTGGTAAATGTTGGATATGATCTGGACCGCAACATCTGTTTTTCCTGTACCAGGTGGGCCCACAACCTAAGAAAAAAATGATAAACTCATATCAAAGACTAAGTTACTACATTATTAGAAAATAGAAATAAAAACTTAGAAAAAAAGAAAAGAAAAAGAAACTTCACGGGGTGGATTCAGTAATGTAAAAACAGAACAGAGGAACACAACCTTAGAAATGCATACATCTATGGAAGAACACCAAAAAGTATAAATTTTATATCACTGATCTCCAAGGAGAGAAAAATATATACAGAAAAAAGTGTTTGATTAATGGTTAAAACTGTTAAGTCCCCAAATCCTGTTCAGAAAAAAATTCACTTTAAATAAACAAAACCAAACCAAAAACCAAAACAAACTTAAATAAAATGATGAGAAAGAAGTATCACATACTTGCAAACTCTCGGACTGTATCAGATTCAGACTAAAAGGCAACAACCGAAAGCTAAAAGAAAAGGTTGCACATACTTGGATATTAAACACACTCAATGCAGACCTTTCTCTGTAAAGGGCCAGAGAACAAACACCATTAAAGACTATGCTGGCCAAAAACTGTTGCAAATACTTCTGTGGTTACAGGAGGATAATTGATTTAATAGAGATGGCCATATTCTAATATGTGCATCTATCAACACCAAGCTGAGCAGCAACATCTCACGTATAGAATGCTGCAATTACTTAAAAACACTCAAAACTCAGCCAGCTTTGCTTACCATTGTCAATCCAGGTTGCATCCCAGCCCGGATGGCCTCTATCTGTGTATGAGTGAACTGTATTGTATTTCTGCAAACAGAGGAGTAAATAAAAGTTTGTTAGATATGTAACAACATTTAGTGAAAACTCAGACAACCATGAGCAGAGAAGCTCAAACATCTACTTGTTCTTATTCCCTGACCCCCAGAGAATAATTTTTACGAACTGCAGTTGTTTCCAATACACTAAGCTTATTGTAGGCCTCATCTGGCCAGAAGAAGTTCTAGCTCCCAAATGAACCGCCCCTGCAGTCCCAGCACAGACCCCGAAGACCATTACACAGGAGCTCCATGCTCACATGCCAGTGGTTGTGTAATGCTGACTGTTAAAGTGCCAGAGAATGTTTCTTTTTGAAATGTGACTACAGAATTATCTAGAATTTCTCAGCTACTCAGATAATTGACAGAACTGAAAGGAAAAAGCCCCAACGTTTGAAACAAAAGTATCCCACCCAAAAGAGAATTTAAAAGCAGTTTGTTAACTAGGCTAGGTAGTCAAATTACCGTTTGGGCTGGTTGTAAGGATAAGGGCCTCTATTAGGAATAACATGAGGTTCTACAATTAAGGTCTTTGCTTCTTCGGTGTCCTCTTCTTCCCCGTCTGCGTCTTTCCTTTTCTTCCCTTTTCCGCTTCTCACAGGGAAGGTTATTCTACAAGAGCAAAGCCCCCATTCATCTTTAAAATAAGAAATGGTCCAAACTGAGAAGGGGAGTGGGCATGACCCCCATCCTTAATCCAGAAGCTACCAGCCACTTGAATAGGAAATATTAGTATGGAGTCTCACTGGGTTTACAAACCTCACTTTAGGGTAGACCCATGCCCAGCAGTAGATGGTGCCCACAAAATGAATTCAATGGTATATCTGGTTTTTTTTTTTTTTAACATTTTAAATCTTACTGGTCTTTTGCTCATATATTATGGTTCCAATTTTGTGTTTATATGGTGTGTCTGCACATGTTTTTCATGCTTTTCTTCTTCTTCTTTTTAAAATCTGTTTGTTTTATCCCCTACCCTCCTTGGCTGGTTTGCTTTCTATAGAGAGAGAAAGAAGGCATTGGGTTGGAGGGGTAGGAGATGGAGAGGTTCTGGGAACAGATAGAAGAAGGGAACTGTGATCAGAATACAGTGTATGAAAAAATTTATTTTCAATAAAAAAGAAATAACTACTATCTTGTATATGACATTGTATGGAGAATAAAAAGATGTATAAGAAAGATTTGTGATTTACTTCTACATAAACTATAATAAAATAAAGGCAGATTTATAATTATTAAAATTGGAGTTAAGCCTTCTGTTTGGGGAAAAAGTCATCCAATTAATGGACAAATCAAAGAAACACTAAATACTTGTCATATGCACTGTAAAGTGCATTGGTGTTCACATATTCTGAAGACTTAAGAAGACTGGTTTAAAGAACAGAGACCCTCAGAAATTCACAGCCAGAAAGAAAAGACTTCCCAGAAAACAGAAGTAACAGCAAAGGCCAAATACAAACAGCCAAGCATTGCCAGAGCACAGAATACAACAGAAAAAAAGGAAGGACAGATAGACTGGAGTCTTGTTATAGCGTCTCTGAAACACCAGGCTTAAGACCAGAGGTTCTTAGTCTGGAGTTAGAGGCCAAAGCTTTCAGCGAATTTCCTAAATTAAACCAAAAAAAAAAAAAAAAAAAAAAAAAAAAAGAAAAGAAAAAGAAAATTCCTCTATGTGTACTTTTCCCGTTCTTGCAGTACAGACAGAGGCAAAGGTTGCCGAGAACTAATGCGGAGAAGGAGTCACCTTACAAGTAAGCAGCAGAGAGTAAACGGCAGACTCACTTCTCCAGTGAGGGAGTGAACGGCTCTATGTAGGAAAAGGCATTGGAGATTTCAAGGGCAGAGGCAGGAAATACAGCACCAGCAAGACTGAAGGGCCTAGAGAAGCAGTCAAGAGGGACACAGAGTGTTCCTAACAGAATCTATTATATACAGCAAGAGTTATGAGCATAAACAGATAAAAAAATAAAAATGGGAGGCAAGAGAAATGTTTCTGTAATTAACAGAAGTGAGGGATGAAAAGAAGAAAACGAGGTATGGGTATTATGAAAACTATGTTGCAAGTATGCTGAATTATTATTTGTATTTAATAGGTATGTGGAAGTTGTGTGCTCTGGTTCCCAGCTAATGAAGGTGCAGGTATCGTTGTGTAGTCGTCTCTGATGTTCACGAACATGCTCCGGCAGCTGCCAATGGCTCCAAGCAGCTCACTCGATTTCTACTCAACAGCTACAGCCCTATTTGACATTAATATAACTCTAGTTTGAATACATATTGAATATCTCTCATTTAAAAACATGAAATTGAAAATGTTTCAAAATCTTAAACATTTGGGATACTCAGACAATCCTCCAAAGTTTCGAATTCCGGAACATTCTGACTTTTAGACTTTCAGATTAGGAATGTTCAATTGGTGATGTCTATGGAAATATTTCAAAATCTGAAAAAGCTCCAAACATAAAATATTTCCTGCCTCAAACATTTTAAATAAAGGATATTCAATCTGTATTTAAAATCTGCAAAAGGCAGGCAGAGTTAAAAGAAAAGTTTAGCTTCTTAGAATCAAAATGAAGCTCAACATCACATGCCTGTATTACCAGTTAAGAAACACACTAGCCTATGTGTGAGATGTACAGGCATGTGTCTTTAGTCAGCTACTATATTTATATAGTTCTTTCCAAATCAAAGACACTGATTTCTTTTGAGACATGAAGCTACTTTTAATGTGGTCTTAAAATAGCTTCTGTACTGAGTCAGGAATAGATTCAAATATAATAGTCTTATCCCAGTGATTATTACAGCAAATGTAAGGACTGCCAAAATGAAATCCAGACACAATGCTCCAAACTCACTTAGTCAACAGTGCTGATGCTAGCACAGATGGACCACAGAATGGCTGCCAAAGCATACCCATACCTGAAAGGGGGTGTTTGTAGAGCTGGGTCGTTCACAGTCACTTTGACATTATGACCAGGAAAGCTTGCTTTTAAATGTTCAATGGAGAGAAAGGTATCATTGAAATCCAAGGTAGCAATCTGATTGGGCATTTTTGAATAATGGGCACTACTTGGGTCCCCATAACCTAAAATGATGTCATGCAGCCAGTCCGGTACCACGCAGTCGGTATTCATCAGATTCCGAATAGTCTCCAACACAGCCTGCCAGTAGGAGGACAGAAAGCTTCGTGTCAGTTGACATCTCAAACATTTGCACTCCCCTGGAATGCAGAGCTGATGGCACCAATCCGGAATGCCCATGTGTTTCAAGGCAAGCAGCTATTTTCTGCTGACAGGTGCTTGGCAAGACTGAACCAACAGCTATATTTTCAGCTGATACCATACACTGAGTTAAACAAAAGAACTAAGTTAGCAAGAACAGTTTATCCACTAAGAATTCGTTTAGATAGAATGACATAAATGGGTTTGCCACTTGACTCTTCTTGAGCATGATGAAAATAAGATTTATGTCAAGAAAGAAAGAAAGAAAGAAAGAAAATTACAGAAGAGGGCCTTAAAAGCAAATGATTCCTAATAAATTTGAGATTTTCCCTCTCAATAGTATATAGCTCTTCCACTGGTGAAATGCAGAAATACTTACAAAATCAGCATTGAGAGAAATAAAAAAGCTGTCAATAATAAAAATGACAAATAAATTGAAGAATTAAAAAACTGGCACTAAGCTAAGCAGTGGTGGTGCAAGTCTTTAATCCTGGCACTAGGGAGGCAGAGACCTGTCTCGAAAAACAAAACAAATGCAAACAAGAACCGGGACTACAATAAAAGGGTACTACAGGAGTTAGCATAGACACTGTCAAAACGAATTAACAGAGCCAAGAACATTTTTTTAGACTATCCAAAAACCATTCTGATAAATATGGAAATTAGGAGGCAAGGCCCAATTTCAAAGTACACAGTAACCAAATAAAGTTTTTTAAAACTCAGGGACCTAGCACAGTTTAAATATGGCATGGGTGAGTAATGGACAGACAGATCATTGAGTACATTCATACGACACTGATGAATGAGATGATAACTCTGCCATCTAAGGAAATTGTAAATGTAGTAGAGATGAAGGAAGACAGGGACTACGACAAGTAGCAGAATGTGACAACAGTAAAGAATCCTACACACTACAAAGGGAATATACTACAGATGAGAGATGGATGATGGGGAGATGGGCTTGATACCAGGAAAAGCTTCAAGAAAAAAGTACCATTTTAATTTAGTGCAACAAATCATTTCTGATTGATTTCATCATTAATGGAAAGTTACAGAAATGTTTTAAGCAGCAGGATATGAAGTATCAGTGTTCTAGAGAATTAGGAAATACACATAACAGAATTATGAAGGGACTAGGGCACGGTGGCCATTCCAATGGTCCAGGCAAAAAGTGGAAGACCCAGATTAGAACAGGCTGCACTCATTGGAAAGCAAATAAAGCAAAGAACCAAATGAGGGATTCTCTGCCAGTACACATACGGTAAACATACCACAAAGGCAGGTCATGGTCCCCTTGTTTGCATCAGGACCTGAATGCTTCTTTTAACTTCCTGTTAGGAAAATCAAATTGGATTCCCACCAGCAATGGATGAGTGTTCCCCTGACTCCACATCCTCTCCAGCAAAGGCTATCATTGGTGTTTTTTGATCTTAGCCATTCTGACAGGTATAAGATGGTATCTCAGAGTTGTTTTGATTTTCATTTCCCTGATGGCTAAGGATGTTGAACATTTCCTTAAGTATCGTTTGGCCATTTGAGATTCTTCTGTTGAGAATTCTCTGTTTAGTTCTGTACCCCATTTTTTAATTGGATTATTTAGAATTTTAATGTCTAATTTCTTGAGTTCTTGATATATTTTGGAGATCAGTCCTTTGATTTGGGGTTGGTGAAGATCTTTTCCCATTCAATAGGCTGTATTTTTGTCTTACTGACTGTATCCTTTGCTTTATAGAAGCTTCTTAGTTTCAGGAGGTCTCATTTATTTATTGTTGCTCTCAGTGTCTGTGCTACTGGGGTTATATTTAGAAAGTAGTCTCCTGTGCCCATGCATTGAAGACTACTTCCTAGTTTCTCTTCTATCAGGTTCAGTGTGGTCGGATTTATACTGAGGTTTTTAATCCATTTGGACTTGAGGTTTGTGCACGGCGATAGATATGAATCTATCTAGTGGGAATGCAAACTTGTACAACCACTTTGGAAATCAGTATGGTGGTTTCTCAGAAAATTGGAAATCAACCTACCTCAGGATCCAGCAATACCATTCTTGGGCACATACTCAAAAGATGCTCAATCATACTACAAAAGCATTTGTTCAACTACATTCATAACAACATTATTTGTAATAGCCAGAACCTTGAAACAACCTAGATGCCCCTCAACTGAAGAATTGATAAAGAAAATGTGGCACATTTACACATTAGAGAGTACTACTCAGCGGTAAAAAACAATGACATCTTGAATTTGCATGCAAATGAATGGAATTAGAAAACCCTATCCTGAGTGAAGTAATGCAGACCTAAAAAGATGAATATGGTATATACTCACTCATAAGTGAATACTAGCTATAAACAAAGGACATTGAGCCTATAGTTCAAGATCCTAGAGAAGCTAAATAATAAGATGAACCCAAAGAAAAACATATATAGATCCACCTAGAAATTGGAAACAGACAAGATGGCCTGACAAAACTGGGAGCATGGGGTTGGGGAAGAAGTGAGGGTGAAAGGGGAAGAGGAGGGAAGAAGGGGTGTGTTGAGGAGAACTTGAGGGAATGGGATAGTCAAGATGGAGGAAGGACAGAGATGAGAGCAAGGAAAGAGATATCTTGATTGAGGGAGCCATTATAAGGTTAGCAGAAGCCTGGCTATAAAGAAATTCCCAGGAATCCGTAAGGATGACCCCAGCAATAGGGGAGAGGGTGCCGGATCTTGATTTGCCCTGTAGTCAGACTGATAAATATCTTAAATATCATCATTGAAACTTTATCCAGCAATTGATGAAAACAGAGGCAGAGACCTGCATTGGAGCACTGAACTAAGCTCCCAAAGTCCAGTTGAAGAGTAGGAGAAATGAGAATATGAACAAAGAGATAAAGACCATGATGGGTTCACCCACTGAAACAGTCTACCTGAGCTAATGGGAGCTCACCAACTCCAGCTGGACAAGGAAGAAACAAGCACAGGACCAAACTAGTCTCCCCTCTGAATGTGGTCGACAGTTGCATGGCTGGGGCAGACTGAGGGCCCCTGGCAGTGACACCAGGATTTATCCCTACTGCATGTACTGGATTTTTGGGAACCTCTTCTTTTTGGATGGATACCTTGCTCAGCCTAGATATAGTAGGGAAGGCCTTGGACCTTCTACAAAACAATGTGCCTTACCCTCTCTGAGGAGTAGATAGGGGTGGGGTGGGAGGGTATGTGGAGGAAATGGGAGGAGGGGAGAAAGTGGGAATTTGGATTGGTATTTTTTAAAAAATCTAATAAATTAAAAAAAAATCATGTTGGGCACCTGTTAAACTTTCATGGTAATTACTTATATTTCTTACTTTCTTGATTGGTAGTTAAGTTCTTAACCATGTTTATTCATCTCTACAACTCCCATATAACTAATCACAACCTCAGACACACAAAAGACACTAAAAAGAATGGCAAAAAAAGAACTATTTTGTAGATTTCAGTCATGTGACTGAGATTCCCTTACTGAAAAGTGAGACTGTCCTAGGTACAGTACAACCTGGAAAGAAACCTCTCAAGAGATACTTAACTGAGTTGCTTGTGTGGAGATGATTTATAATTTTATAAATATACCTAAGGAAAATCATCTACCGTGAAACCGTGTAAAGTCATGGGTTATTTAAAGAACAGGTGTATGATTAGTGTGGCTACAGTAAAGTAAGTAAGGAGATGGAGGACACGATAGGGGAAGTCATGGGCAAATGATGATGTAACAACAGTGTCTTGGATTATTAAAAACTCTTCAATGTGATGAGAAACCATTAAAGAATGTAAAACAGGGGCACCAAAATATAACTGACATTTTGAAAGAACGGCAAAGAGGCTATGGAGAGAGAGTAACGTACTGGGAGGAGCAGAGGGGAAGAGAAGCAGGGATGTGGAATGAGGGTGACTACATACGGCATCGCCAGAGGTGGGAAGCCACTCAGCACTGAAGGACTGTTTGTGGAGCAGGAGGAAAGGAAGCGAGGGATTCCCACTGCATTTGTCTTCAGAGAAAGAAGAATGGAGCATAAATTTCTGCGTTTGAGAGCTCATGTATTTTCTTATATACAGCGACAGTGTGGGAATGCAAGAGAGTGACAGGACTGTGTCAGCAATGAGGCTTGGGGAAAAGAGCAAGGAAAGTCACCCTGCAAAAACTGGAAGTTACCAACATTAACACAACTTGAAAGAACTATAAGTGTTGCTTATAGTCCCTCCTAGAGACTTACACATGAGAACAGAAAAAGTATTTTCAGATCTTCCTTTACTAAAATTCTCCATCTAAACTATGAAAGCAAAAATTAGGAACCCCCAGGTCTTCCTGTTCCTAATGAGTGACGTGTGTCAAAACAATGTATCAGAGCATCATTCAGCACTTTTGTCCACATCTGTATTCTAAAGACATCTGGGAGTACACCTACTTTGGATCCACTAAATGAATGAACAGTCTTCCTCCTCATTCTGGGCCTAAACTGAGCACCTAATGTAAAAAAGCAAGAAAGGAACTGACTTTCAGGAGAAAACCTGAATTCATTTATAAATTTCCAATTTCCTTAAAGCCAAAACAGATTTAGCAAATGGATTTCCTTAAATGTCACATCTAATCAATATGCTATGAATTTAAGAATGCTCACAAAATTAAACAGTTAATGTTGTCTTTAAACTCCCTTACCCAGTATGCATGTGTTTCTATTTTAGGATTTCATTATTAGGATATCAGGGCATTTAGGTACAGAATCAAACTTACCTTAAAGTTATTCTCTTTCGGTTTCCTCCTCATTATGACATTGAAGGTGTCATACACATCTTCGGCTCCATTTTGTATAGTGTTGGTCATATCCTGTTGATACTGGTTGGGATCCAAAAACACTCGAAACGTCCTTGACTCACCTCTAAGATTGGGTCTGGGTTCAGGTCCTAGATATTGTTAAAGACTTTGTTAAATGAAATATGTATTTTCAACTAACTATCAAAGAAAGTTAAAAGTATTTCTCTTATAGAAATGATAAGCCATTAAACTTATCTCCAGTATCCCCCCACGACTAAACTTTCCTCTACTTAGACAATTTAGATTCAAAATTAAAAGCATATTCCCCTTTTTCTAAATTTTTATCATTTCTTACAACTCATGTTGTGCAGAGGTCAGAGGGATTACAATTGTGTGCTGTCATGCCTGGCCTACTTAGAAATATTAAAAACCGTATACTTTCCATTATCTAATATATATATATATAATTATATATATATATAATATAATATATAATATAACTTAAAAAGGCAACTCAGTTGCACATACTACTTGTGCACATTTATAAAGTACAATGGAAAATTCAATACGTTTAACACAGTTTTTTGTTTGCCGTTTTTTGTTTTTTTTTTTTTTTTTTTTTTCCCCACACCGGGGACTGAACCTAGGGAATACACAGCACCTGTTAGGCAAGAGCCCCGTCACCCATTACCTATTCTACAACTATGAAGTAGGCACTTCACATACAATCTTTTATGTTTACTACATAAAGCAACTAAAAGTAGCAACTAAGAAAGACAGCACAGAAGTGTATCACTCCAGACATTCTCTCGAATAAAATAGATCACTATACCATCTTCGATGACTCGCCCTTTGTCATCCAGCATGCCCTGGATTTCACAGCCTCTGACGTATACCAAGCCAACCTGCTCAATAAAAGGTCTCCTCCTGTCAAACTTAGTACCATAGGGCTTTGTGGGACGCACAGTGATTAAAAAGCATACGTCGTGTTTGCGGAGACCTAGTGAAACACAAAAGCATTTTGGCATATTAGAATTACATTGCTTCTGATCTTTCATTGGCAAATTCTTAACCTTTTTGAAGGAGAGAAAAAACATTAAAAATAAAAAAGTGACCAATAAGGCATTTTGGATTATAATATGATTATGTGTTTCCTACAGTTTTTAATATTAAATATTTCATAGCAGTAATTAAAAGGAAGATCTTTTTATATTAAAATTAGAAACTTCTGTGTCATGAATTAATTACTGAGTAAGACTTCCAAGTCATGTTACAGATCCAAAATTGGATGTTCATCATCATCCTTATTTTTAATTCTTATTAAGTAACCAAAAATATGGCTGGAATATAATTCATCTATATCATAGTCATCAAATTTCTACCATCAGTTTCACCTATCCATCACTGTCATTCCAAACAGCCTAAGTGCACTATCCTAAAACAGGTTAACTCAAGAATAACGCATCCAAGCACAGGAGTGCTTTAATCCACAGATATCACACACAGAAAATGGCTCAACACACAGTTTCAGACAGCAAACGGAATCTTTCTAAGTGAATGTCAAGAGAGGAGAGATTGGGGTCAAAGTCCCGGGGCTCTCCACTGGCTTCCCAGCTCCACCAATAACACTGAAACAGGAAGAAAAGGGACATCAAAGTGTTACAGCTCACAACATGGAATGCCACATCACTTCATCTTTGTTTCTTTTCTGACCTATTATTTTTAGCCATTGAATGACAAAAATGAAAATGTACATAGTCAGTCTACTTATAATCTTGGGAAAAAGATATATAACTAGATTAAGACATCAATGTGAATTAATGGCTACTAGGATTGGAAGCATCATGGCTTCTTTTTGTAGAGTTTGGGTGTAAACAAAGCTAAAAATAACTCAAATCTGGAAGGGCAAATAGATGCAAAGGGATTGAGGAGGCAATGAGAACTATAAGGAACAGTGTTCTGCTGAGTTATGCTGCCACATAACCTTGAGTCTGTACAACTCAAACATCTAGGTTTTAGAGACAAAGAAGAGGCCCTGGGAAGCCCCATCAAAGTAGGAGTCACTTTCTGACACCAACAGCGATGGCTGACTGAGTATCCCTCCACAATCAGAACATTACAGCAACAGACACCTTAAATTCACACTTAAAAAAAGTCTGTACTACCATGAGCTCACCTTTCTTCTCGAGCATTTGTAACCATCCTACCTGTGTTTTTAGAAGCAAAATCTAATATCCAGTTTCTATATGGGGTAATAATGAAGATAAGGCTCCAAACTTCAAATCTTGAGGGAAGGGAGTTCTAATTTTTTGTGGAAACATTTCAAAGCTATTCTGTATGTAAGACAATATTCAAGACAGTCCTCCCCTCATTTTCTTCTCACATGTTGGATCAATATAAGGGCTGAATATGGGCCCAGCCTTACAGAAGAGCATTGCTCTTCCCACTACGTGCCAGAGTGTGATTCACGCATCCCTAAATACTCCACAGCACCCTGCCTTGTCCACCAATATCCAACCATTCTATTTCTCAGTCTACCACAGGTCTATCGTAAAGGAGGGTGTGAGGGGGAGAAAAAGAAAAGTCACGGGGCTGGGGAATAAGTGAGAGAAAGCAAATAAGAAAGACATTTTTTTTTTTTAAAGTTTTCTTCAGGTACTCCAGGTAGTAGTTCCCAGAACAACGGAGAAAGGGCTTCATCGGGAGAGCATTTTTCCTTCCCCAACTTTTTACAAGGCCGACCTGTCATTTCTCATCTGTAAACTCCTGTAATGGGTCTTTAAAAATTTCCAGCCATTACTATTTCTGAGAGTGCCAATAAGTCACTTATTTTATTGCCCAATGTGTAAAATAGTGTTAGATACTTAGCACCTTAAGTTTCAGTGGGTAATAACTGCAAGACCCTGTCCAGAAACTAATGAATTCTCAAGGTACAGTAACCATAAAGGTGCACCATGTTCTAGATATATAATGGAACAGACTGGAACTCACAGAAAGATACAGGACTCAAAAAATCTGTTACAAATGATACCCAGTAAAGCAGCCATTTGTCAAACATTTGGCCAACTGCATTGCTAGACTCCTTCAGAATCCCCTTATAAGTCTAACATATGCTCCCCGTGGTTAGCGCCATGCTGGGAGCTATAATTTCTGGAAACTGATCCATTATGGCACTATCCCTTTCCTTCTGGCATCTGAAGAAGGTAGCAGGAGATTAAACCTACTGGCTGCTATTTCTTACCACAGCACAGCAAGTGGGAGCCCTCCGACAGCTGGGGTTGGGCAGGCAGGGAGGGGGTAGGGGGGATGATACAAAAGGGCCCACCACCTGGCGGTTCAGGGGCTGCTTCTTATATAGGTGTTAGCAAAGTTTTAACACTTTTTCACTTAATATTTTTGAATATAGCTTTCCCCAAAGCTAATTATGGAACACAACTCCCATTGCCAAAACTTTATATAGTTTAAAAAAAATTAGGAACATAAACAGTTTACTTTCTTGTCAATTATCACACAACCTCAAGTAACTCTAGTTTCACTGAGACTTTATCCATCTTTCTTCTTGTGGTAAAATAGTTTCCTTAGGATCCTCACTCCATGTCTCCTCAGCAGATCCCTCCTCCCACCTGCACTCTCCATGAGGTGTCTGCTTTCATCTTTTCAAAGTATCACTGTCTCTACTTACTCTACAAATGTGTGTGAGTTATATCTGAGTCTCCTTTAGGACACATTAATGCTTTTATATTGACTCTAAAAATCCAGAAAACATTATACTAAATTTATAATTTCCTCGCAGTTTGCTTTGCAAACTGCAATCTTTAGGACCCTTTGACAGTTATGATTTTGTTATTTAAACATTTATATACTTAAAATACTCTTATATGATCCTTAGTATTTTTACTAATTACAAAGATAACTAGAGTACTTCATAATAAATTTTATGAGCAAAGTTGAATAAAATTCTAAAAGGACAACATTTAGTAATAGTCTGCAATGCTTCTAAATCAGGGGTTCTCAACATGTGGGCCAGGACCCCTTTGGGGTCACATATAAGATATTTACATGACAATTCATAACAGTAGAAAAACTACAGTTATGAAGTAGTAACAAAGTAATTTATGGTTGGGGGTCAGCACAACATGAGGAACTACTAAAGGGTCACAGCTTTAGGAAGATCGCAAGTCAATGTTCTAAACGGGAAACTAGAAAAGAAATAGGTAAAAGGTACCAAATTACCTTCCCATTCATCCTTGATGTGATCTCTGACATTCAGATTGATGGTGACATCTGCACGGACTCGGGTCGGCCAGTTTTCACCAATGTTGGGTTTGGCAACCTCAACGACAGTAAAAGCCACAATGGGCTGAGCCATTCGTGCCCAACCACCAAATACTACACCACCATACTCAGACTGCCTGAAAAGTCAAAGCAGTGGATGATTACACAAACAGGAACTTTACAACCTGATACAAGTAAAACTTGGGGGATACATGCTTAGCTCACGGTCAAGTGCTAGCTAGCACTGGTTAACCAGGGTAGGGGCTCTTTCTTCTTAGAGAATGAACAGTATTCTATACTCTATACTGTATATATAGCCACACACTTCCTTTACTCCTTCATCTCTACACAGACACAGACTGTTTCCCTATCTTGCTGTTGACAACAGTGCTGCTAAGCGCATGAAGAACATGTATTTCTTCAAGACGGTGATTTTATTTTCTATTACTGGGGAATGTCCATACAGTATTCTATGACTGTACCATTATAGTCCCAAGAACATTGCATAAGCTTTCATTTTCTTAATAATCTTGCCAATAGCTATCTTCCTTCTTAACAAGGATGAGTGCCTGGAAGTCCATTTCCTGCGGAGTAGAGGCCTGAGCGCTGCTGGTTTATAGCTGTTGACCACCTTTATATCTTTATTACAATCATCCACTTAGGATGTCTGCCAATTTTTCAACTTAAATTTTTTATGTGTGTCTATGTTCTTATACTTCTGATATAAATCCTTAATTAGATATGAGTTGCAGGTATTTCTTCACACATCATAGATTTCCTTCTCATTTTCCTTTTTTTTTTTGGACAGAGACTTGTTACTTTAATGCTTTTCTACTCACTATTGCTATATCTTTGTGTTTGCTTCCTCTGTTTTTGATGTTATAATCCAAGCCAAAAAACAAAAGCAAAAGTAAAAATATTAAGAGCAATGTTATGGAAATCATCTGTTTTCTTCCAGATATTTCGTGGTCTCAAGAGTTAGGCTTAATCTGTTTGAGTTCACGTTAATGCGGAATGATCTGATCTTCTGGGCTCCACATGCAGATCTAGTTTTCCTCCTTGACTGTATATTCTCAGCACAGATGTCACATACGCATAGTTTTATCCGGGGCTTTCCACTGTTATCTATTTGTATAGGACTCTATTTTTTGGTGTTATTTGTTTGTTTTCTTTTATTTTTTTGAGACAGGTTTTCCCTGTGTAACAGCTCTGGTTGCTCTGGAACTCAATCTATAGATCAGGATGGTCTTGAACTCAAGATCCATTTGCCTCTGTCTCCAAGGGCTGGGCTTAAACGTGTGGGCCACAACTGGAATATGTCCCCACCCCTTTTTAGGTCTACTGCACACTATTTTGATCACAGTAGTTTCGTAATATATTTGAAATCAGGAAATGCAATGCCTCTACTTTCACTGTTCTGGATAGAAACGGCTTCAGCTACTCTTTTTCCCTACTGGAAATCTCCTAAGGCTTTTGCTCGTCTGGTGTCTCTTTCATTTCTAAAGTACAGTTCTTCTTAGGTTTATTTGATCCTTTCCTCTCTTCAAATAATTTCAACTATTAACATTTTATCTTTTGTTCTTTACATTCTTATACAATGCCTAAAATATATTTATTTATTTTAATTTCATTTTACATTCCAACCACAGTTCTTTCCCATCCCTCATCCCACCCTTCCCCCTTACCTCCAGGAAACTATTATTTAAAAACTTAAAAACGTGGAAGAATCTTCATTGGGATATACTACTTTAAGTCACTTAGAAGTATCTATCTAACTCACTTAAAAAAGATCAAAGGGGAAGTTGTGTTAATTGCTAACAACCAGCAGCAATTCCCAAATACGCATTCCTATCTCTGTTACTTTAAAGTGCATTCAGAACTAACTTTATACATTAGATGGTGCATTTGGAACATAAACTAAGGCAGCACTTTAAAACTTATATTTAATATTAATTATAAAAATGACATTAAATTACATCTACTATGAAGATTATGTGCTGTAACTAAACCTATACAACTTTATAACATTAGAGAAAATCTAAGAATAAAAGTTGTGCAATGGCTAGCACTGGGACAGCTCTTGAAGGCATGGCAGTATGCTTAAAACCTTCTAAAAGGGTCTCTACCACTTTTTACCCATGACAGTTGTGGATCTCATTTACTGTAAATGTACAAACACGAGTTTTAGTAAATGTACACGATGTGCTTCTACCATCACAATCCAACTTTAGAACATCTGTATCGCCCCTGAATGTTTTTGTCCAACAGCAGTTAGTCTCTGTACACCCCAGGCAACCACTAATCCGGGTCCTTCAGTCTTATTTCTTACAGAACTGAAACTTGAAGCATAAAAAGGTCAGACTTCTGCTACTTGGAAGCACATCACCTTTTACTGCTGTCCACATGAAAACGTGACCTAACACGTGTACTGTGCAATAGTGCCTGGGTTTCTCTCCTCCACCCTCACAGTGTGACCAGCCCTTGCAGCTATTTCTTCATGGGCACCAGTGACAAAACTTTAGAATGATTTATTATTTCAAATGGGAACAAACTAACTCCAAAAGCAACATTTTCTTTCTTATATCAAAAGATGAGTAATTTTAAAAGATCCTCTATTATTAGAGAATAAAAACCATGAGTAATTATTTGTTTTCTTTGTGTGTTTGATATTTAAATTAAATGTACAAGTGAATTCTATTTACTTAAATGCTAGTTAATAAATCCCTATTTTGCAAAATGGCCAAAATTAGGCTCTGAATCTAGGCATATAAATGCAAGGTAACCATAAATTGTAAAGGAATTTCTGCATCAAGTGTCCCCACAGGGTCTGAACAATGGGCAATAATTTCAGCAAAGCTGTGGGCAGGGAAGAGCAGCCAGTGGATATACAAATTTCATAATCCTAGCCTACTTACTGACTCAACTGATTATTAAGTCAAAAATACTTGTGTTAGGTTTTATAGTCTTATCCAGAATAACTTCTCACATAATAATTAAAAAACTAGAACTGTGTATAAAATAAAATATGGATGTGAAAAAATAGATCATAATCACAGTGCCTGTGGCCACTTTCTATGGTGAGGAAAAGGGAGAAGGCTGGAAGATACCTAAGGAGGTTCACACTCCAGCAACCATTAAGTTTTCCATACAAAGTCAGCAACACTGCATGTGTGTACCTACTGTGCCTGAAAGGTAATGAAGATTCACTTCATGACTCAATTTTATTAATAAGCAAATACATACTTTTAATATATGTGATTTATAATCATTGACTATAAACAGTGAAGGAATACTCCAAATCTCTAGGGTAAAATTCCAAAACTAACCTTCACCAATCTCATAATGCAACACTGTCTACCACGGCTGGAACAAAGGCTTTTCTTAAAGAAACTCTCCGGATAAAGTCAAAGATAGAAACAGAAGAAATCCTCATGTAAATAGACCTGTAGGTGAACCCTACCAGGTTAGTTCCAACGTGCTACTCAGAATGTTCTGAAACACCCAAGGCCCTAGACAGTTCCTTTGGGCACCGACTCACACTTCCCACTACAGTCATGGGAGCAACTGTGGAAGAGGAAATCTCCTTTCCTGTAAACTCCACCCAAGACTAACAGAGTGTCTCTGCCCTATACAGGACTGCTGGCCAGTACACATCCTCCCTCTTTACCCTGCTACTACCATCTAAGCGAATCTTGTCTACACTTCTCCCCCTCCCTAACTAAAATGACCTCTCCTCCCTTCTCCCCAGTTCTCCAGCCATACCTCCAGGTACTTAGACACATAGTTCACATTTTAATACCTTAGAAGTAAATTCACATTTCAAAACTTCTCAATTCGTGAGTATCTTTGACAGGTAACTTCATATTACTAAACGCACTGATTTTCTTAACAAGGCGTATCATTTTACTGTAGACACATTTCTTCATTATAAATGGCATCAATTTACTGACCATGGCTTCATTCTGCTGACACTGTCCTCGATGTCTTGTCTAATTTCGTAAGTGGATTCCAAGCGGAAGAGATTAAAGTTCCTCAGGAGGTAGTCATGTAGAGTTAGAAACTGCAAATTCAATTTGGGGAGAGCAAGACAGCCTGAAAAAGAAAACATCATTGGTGATAGCATTATTCTTTGAATCAGCCATCTGATCTAAATACAAAAACCATACCAGCTACTAGGGAAGCAGCTGCTGATGACGTGAAACACAGGCACGTCCTCACACTTCCATCTGCGCAGACACTAAGGCTAGACTAGCACAGGCTGCCTTTTAAAAACTGAGGGCACAGGTACAACTATTCATAAAAGTAATCTACATCAATATTTCACACACAAACTGTGCTTCTTAAATGTTCGCTGAGACACAACACTAGAACAGGCTCTAGGAACTTAAAAGCTCCTTCCCCTTCATGCCATCCAAGTCCTGAAGTGTGTAACATTAGCATAAACTCACAACGTGATAGATTACTATGCAAATTTAATTATGAAGATGTCACTTTGCCTAAAGAGAACTCCAAGCATTCCTTTGGGTAGACTTTAAGGGTCAAGGCGCTGTCTATGTGTTATTCCATCCCTTCTCTTCTCTGTCAGTGAATGAAGTCTTACCCTTATTTAGAGATCAAGTACTCCACAGCATTATCAAAGTAATCCTTAAAGCCACAATACATTTAACACACAAATCACGTTTTTGAAATCATTATTTACAGTACAAACAGTAATAAAAGAACTAAAAGAAATGATGTGCAAAATACTCATATCGTTTTTATTTGTAGATACTGACTTGCAATCTGACTCAGCATCTCTCTCTCTCAGGCACAGGTTGAAAAAAAGGTGTCTCATTTTCATTTAAAACAAAACAAAAACAAAAGTTAACACCTTGTAACCTCCATTGAATTAAAAATGGCTACACAGAAGGGAATAGGTTCCTTTGAGCATCCTTGTCTATATGTGTGGCACCTTGCTCTCATCTGGTCTCCTGGCTCTGTCCCCCTAGTAGCCCTTCCCTAATTAGTCCAGCCTCTACTTTATTATTACATGGATTTCTGTTTTAGAATATTTGTATACTGTGTGACGGTGCTTTTCTGTGATTAATGTAATAAAAAGCCAATAGGTAGCCAGGAGGTATAGGCAGGATTTCTGGAGAAAAAAAAGGAGGAGAATATGGGTGTGTAAGAGATGCCTGGAGCCTGGTGGTGGTGGCGCACACCTTTAATCCCAGCACTTGGGAGGCAGAGGCAGCCGGATTCTGTGAGTTCAAGGCCAGCCTGGTCTACAAGAGCTAGTTCCAGGATAGGAACCAAAAGCTATGGAGAATCCCTGTCTCGAAAAATCAAAAAAAAAAAAAAAAAAAAAAAAGATGCCAGGAGACACAGAGAGGAAACAGGAGGTGCAAGATGGAAGAGAGGTAACACCACATGATGGAACACAGATTAATATAAAAGGGTTAATTTAAGTTGTAAGAGCTAGTTAGGAACAAGCCTAAGCTATCGGCTGAACTTTCATAATAAGTCTCCATGTCATTGTTTGGGAGCTGGCCTGTTATATATGGTGTCCAATGTGGGGGGCATGTATTTCCAAATAGGACCTGAAAAAGCTTAAAAAGTTCCCAACACACAAACAAGGAACCAGATGAGGATTCCTAGTCCCAGTCTCTCAAGCTGGTTGCAGTACATAGAGACACGGCTCTCCACTTCTGCCTATGGGTTGGAGTCAGCCCCCAGAGCAATGTGCAGTGCCATGTGCTAAGCTGAGCCACGTGGCAAGTGACATGACAGTTTAAGATTTGTCTCATGTGGTCAGAGAATGCTACAGATGCTTAGTAAAGCCAGGTCCAGACACAGAAAAACCTCTATAAAAGTACAGTATGTTTAAACATGCTTAGAAGCTGAAGAAAGAAAATGGATATAGACAGTTATAGAAAAAAATAGTTCAAAAATAATCAAGTCTTTAAAGAGAGAGTAAAATGATGTATTTTAAAAAGCTACATAAAGATGGGAAATTGGGCATCTGGATCCTGTATGGTGTTTTGTTGACTGTGAATTTTTTGAATGTTAATGAACAGAGAACGACAGTTGCTGAGAGACATTAAATTGTGGAAAGGACTGCTAAATTAAACCAGCCTATATACTTTAGGGATGTCTTAGCTTCAAATTGGAAGTTAGACAATATGTTGCATTGGGGGAGGGGCTCTGCTTTTGTTTCCACAGGAATGAAAAGCTATGAATTCCTTCGAAGTTAATCAAGATCATATTTGACCAGGAGAGACCTCCTGAGGATCTTGGCTACAGACATGAGGGGAAAGTCAAAAAAGACTACAAGACAGGTAATGTAGAAGCTAATCCCTTGACATGGGAAGAGCCCTGAGCCCTGAGACTAGGTAAGACATGATAAATCTTGTTGGTGATAGAGCCCTTATGACTTACACATAACATCCTTTCAGATGGGTGGACAGAAATTTATGTTACAGTTTGGTTATATAATCCAAGTGGATTTAAAAAAGTTGATAGATGCCTTTTATCTGCTCAACAAAAAACAAAAGCCATCTTTAGCTGACTTGTATAAATCACACATTCCACACTTTTGTGAATACAGACATGTATGTTACCTTTAAAAGTTTCTATGTTTTCAGAAAAAAAGGACCAGACACCAAAATAAGACAAGCAGCCCAGGTGATCCAGCTTCTAAGAAAGCCTGTTAGTTCCCCAAAATTTTGCATCCAGAGCAACTTCAAAGTTGCTAGCTGAGATGGCCCAGCCTCACAGACTATCCAGCCAGAACTTCAGACAAGTCTTACACTTTCCCATCACAAGACTGGACAATAGCTAGCTCTCTCACTTGACCATTATCCCAATAGTCTCAGGGTCACCCCCAGGCAGCAGGAAGCAGTCTACAGAACATGATGCCCACATTCCTAGGAGGTGGGATGGGTGGTTTTTGATCATTCAGTGGGTTATGGATGTTTGTCACTGTTTAGGGGGGTTGGTTACAAGTTGTTATTGGTCAAGATCAGGAAAAAAAGCTGAACAAAGGAGATTAAGTCAAGGACCTCAATCTGAAGGGGAAAAGTGGGGATACAGTATAGAAATGATGGGATAAAGGGGTGGATTATTGAATCTACTCTTGAATAACTATGAGTCCCAAATATTTTACACTGGTATCAATTTTTGTATACTGATTCAAATTTAAGGTTATTCTGCATATATGTTTCTATTTTTTTTAAGGTATTGTACCTATGCAGATCATTTAAAAACATGTGAAGTTTTAGCCCTTGCAAGCTATTCAGGATAATAAAAAAAGACAGGTTAGTAGTCATCTACAATGATTAAACTTATAGTCATGTTAGGTATGTTTTCAAGGCCAACAGAGATGTACTTTAAATTGATAGATGGCTTTCAAACACTTCAGAGACCAATAGAATATGACATTTAAAACGTTTAATAACATAAGGCTTTTCATTACAATGGGACATGTCTATTCCTGACAGCACCAATTTACTTCAAAAAAGATGATGGGGATCAAAGAAGTTCTATAATGTAGTCTGCTTTTCTTGTGGCAGAGCTAGCCATTTGGGCAAGAAACTGCTCTTGCCTCAACTGCTGAGAGTATGCTCTTTAAACTGGACAAGCAGGACACAAAAGAAAGCAAGAAAGCAATTGCCAAACTTTGCCAAGACAAGGTAGGTCAGTCCTTCAAAATTCCTGCTTCAAAGAAAAATCTCTCAGATATTCTAGACTTATGGGGCAAAGATGGATGCTCAATATTTTAGAGGAACCTTGGGTGACAGTTTCTATCATTTCTTGCTTCTGACATTTCTAAGGTTTTGGAAGTTGTTTGTTCTGCACTTCCTGTTTACTTAAGTAATATAGCCTTCTCAGTCTTTGATGGGGTTGAAGACCAGATAGGTTATAGTTACGATTTTCCTTGTTATCAAATTCAAAAAAGAAACTTACATAAGACATAGCTTCACTATATTAGAGTTAAAAGCTTTCCTTTTTATTTAGACAAAAAGGGGGAAATGTTGTGGGATACTTATATACTGTGTAAAGATGTACTGCTGTGATTGGTATAATAAAAAGCTGAATGGCCAATAGCTAGGCAGGAAGTATAGGTAGGCTTTCCAGTGAGAAAAAGGGAGAGGAGGAAAATCTAGGCATACAAGAGACACCAGGAGACACAGATGGGAAACAGGAGATGCAATATGGAAGACAATGCACATGATAAAATGTAGATTTATATAAATGGGTTAAATTAAGTTATGAGCTAGTTAGGAAGAAGACTAAGCTATAGGCTGAAATTTCATAATTAATAGGAAGTCTTCATGTTATTATTTGGGAGCTGGCTGGCGGGACAGTGAAAGATTCCTTACAGATTCCATTATTCTACTTCCCACTTTTCTTAATATCTCTTCTTCCTGTCTCATGATCCCTGCTCTAGTGTCTTGTCCTACACACACACACATACACACCCCTATATATAATGTAATTTCTATGTTCTATATATAGAAAAGAACAAGCCGTGCTTGTCTTTCTTTTTTTTTTTTTTTTTTTTTTTGGTTTTTCGAGACAGGGTTTCTCTGTGGTTTTGGAGCCTGTCCTGGAACTAGCTCTTGTAGACCAGGCTGGTCTCGAACTCACAGAGATCCGCCTGCCTCTGCCTCCCGAGTGCTGGGATTAAAGGTGTGCGCCACCACCGCCCGGCTCCGTGCTTGTCTTTCTGATTGTGCCTTATGTTTTTTTTTGGGGGGGGGGTGGGGAACAGAGGTTCGAGACAGGGTCTCTCTGTGTAGCTCTAGCTATTCTAGAACTCACTCACCTTGAACTCAGAGATCCACTTGTCTCTGCCTCCCTGAGTGCTGAGATTAAAGGTGTGCACTGCCACTACCACCTGGCACTGGCTTATGTTGTCTAATATAATTATTTCTAATTGCACACACTTTCTGAAGGTAGATTTCAGAAATTTCAGGAAATCTTTGGAACAGCAGCCACTGAAAGAATTGTGACTACTTTAGGGTCATCACTAGTATAATACCACTAGTACATTTAGGCCAAATTCTCTGCTTCAGTGTATTAACGGGTAGTTTTGAAACAAAACTACAGGCTCAAAAGGTAGTATATACACTTGGGAGATTAAGGAGACAGAAGTTCAAGACCAGCCTAAGGCATATTTCAGGTTAGTTTGCAGTGTGATACCTTGGCTCAAAATATTAAGAACAAAAATAAAAATTAAGAACCCCAAACATTTGTTACCAACTGCTGTTATGTAGTTTATTGACAGTCATTACAAGCCTTCACAAAGAACTTTAAAAATGCTCTAAGAGAGCGTTTGAAAGGCAAGTCTACTAAACAGTGACACAATGAAAACTGTACTTTCTGCATTCTTAAGCCTCCTTAAAAACAGCCTTGTGGTTTAATAACCATATTTTATACAGGGTAACATATCTTAGGGCCTAGTTACATTGAATACAAATCCTTATCCTAAGCATTCAAATTTCCCATTCTTTCTAGCTTCTAATATTAACTTCAGAACACAGAAAAGTAGCCCATGTACAGAGGAGTTGGCGTGCATTTTAGCCATATATGAAGAAATTAAGTTCACGCCACATCTGACACTCTGTATCCTTCACTTGTGTTCCTTTACCTACCTTCCCCAGAATAGTACTCAGTTGGGACAATGTTTTCATCCCATATAATCTTCTCGGTTGGATACAAAGGCATCTGATTCAGCTGCTGAATCTGAGAGATACGGCGTTCATGGCGAGACACCTGCAGGAAGGAACAGGTTTGTGCAGAACATGAGCAACACTAGGGTTTACCCAGAGCAACCGGGACAGGCCCACCGTAAATTCCTGCCTTTCTATTACTGAGACACTTCAAGGAGACTTCATTTTTCTCTTCCTGTTTTCCCCCATAAATCACAGAATAAGGAGGCATCAATCAAATGTACTAGCGCCAATCTCAGCTCCTCCATTTATAAGGAAGTTACTATAAGCTTCTTAATCTTAGTTTTTTCTTAGTAAAACAAATGAAGCGTCATGGTCTATCAGGGGTCTATGAAAATGAAATGGGATACTATAAACTGTATCAAACTCCGTGGTACATGCCAAGAGTTTCAGAACTGTAGCATCTATGTAAAAACCAAACAAACATCCCCAACAAAAATTCTGAATCCTGGATTTAATTTTCATGTTTCTACTAAGAATCTCACATAACCTGAGAAATTTTATAAATCCCCTAGTCTGAATCTTCTCACTGTAAAACGATAGGGTAAGCTGCACCTCCCCTGCAGTAATGATCTCTACATATGCTTAATACCATAGTTGTGCATCTCACACACAAACACGCCTGCTTTCTAATTAACAATGCCAAAATGACACTCATTTTTCTATGAGAAAGATCCCTGGGAAGGGTCTGTATTTCTTTTGTTCATAAAAACTTTTAGTATTGGTACCAACAGCCTGACTCAAAAGAGATTTTACATCGTCAGGAAAGAGCTCAGGGAATTTTTAGGAAGCATTTGCAGTTACAGACAGTGACAAGTGACTTGTAGGAGGACAGACAGAGATAGCAATCTAAGACACACTTCACAGAGTAAACATGCAAGATAAAAAGCATTTTCCACACTAGAACTAATTTAAAATGCTCCCCAAGTCTTGTCCCCGAATGACACTCAAACACCTGTCACCAAGCTTTAAACACCTGTTAACAAATAGTTCCTGGTCTCTACTCCCCAATTCATCTTCCCAACAGTGCAGGGTTATGTTCTACCTCATGTATTAAAAATATAAGCTTGGAAAATAAATCACAGAGTGGTACATCTAGTATGATTCAACATGTGTAAGAAAAATCAACAAATACATGCATATTTATTTATTTATTGCTTAGATACAAATGTCTGAAATAGATGAAAAGCCAATCAATCTTAAAATAGTAAAGAAAAAATACAAACAAAACAAAACCTAAAACAACCATTTTAAATCCTTCCCTCTCCACCCTAGAAAAAGAAAACTGGTCAGATCAAGGCTGGTAAGAAGGAGGCGGACACGCTCATCGGACTGTTAGTGGCAATCTACACATTTTGGAGAATAACCAGTCAGCCTCTTTCTCAATGTAGATAAACACATCAGATTACCAGTTTCTGGTTCCACATATGGGTGTACACACACACACACACACACACACACACACACTCTGCAGCAGTATCTGTAAAGGTGAAAACTATCAACAACTTAAAGAGCTAGTAGCTGCAACATTGCAACATTGCTAAATAGTCATCTGTTCCAGAAAATGCTGTACTGAAGGGAAAAGGTATCCATACACTGCAAAGTGAACTAAATTCCCAAAGAAAGTGAAATGAAAATCATAATTTTTTTTTTTAAATCCTGGAAGTACTTGAATCTTTGTTCCTTTGGTACTGGAGACCAATGTATATATAGCATTGAAAATATTGTATAATATTGTCTATCATTGAGCTACATGCTTGACTTGCATTTTGACTTACAGAAGTTCTAAATTGTAGCAATAACATGTACTCCACTATTACTCAGATAATTAAGTCATATATATACACAAACACGTATGTATATATATGTATATATAAAAACATACAAACACACACATAGGAAAACTTTAGAAGGGTGTAAGTGCAGAATTCTGAGTAACAGGGGAAGGCCAAGCAGATAAGTTCTTCACTCCTTAACTTTAACCACTGTGGAACTGTACATTTATGAAGTTAAACAATACAAACTCAAAAAAAAAACCCCAGCAACAATAGCATATTAGTCCCTGCTCCAACAAAAACTATGTTTCTATAAAGCAACACAAAACTAGAAAAAATGTAAGTTAAAAATAAAGCCCCTCATCACCAAAACTAACTGAAAAGTGCTCATAATTCTTAAGTTACTTAGGGATAATTAACTATACTTCCAAATTATTAAGTTTATATTATCAATATTACCTAATATTTGAATACATTACGTTTGAATAATCACCTTTTCAATAACCACATGGGCATGGTCATCCACAAGCCCTGTGTCTAGCCATGGTCTCTTAACTCTGTACCCCCAGAGTATCAGTCCAGTAACACAGAAGCTCATCTGTGATATAATGAATTTCTGCCATAAGGAAGCTTGAAGGCATGAAAAATGAGATTAAAGAAATTAAAGAAATGAAAAACAAGTCTGACCAAAATAGGTAGATAGGTAGGTAGGTAGGTAGGTAGGTAGGTAGAGAGATAAATAGATAAAGATAGACAGATAAATCAAATAATTCAAGTAAGTTAAAGTCAAGGTAAATTACTGAATCTGTATGCAGACGTCAGTATGTCAATACTGTTTATATTTCTATGAGGGATTCAAAAAGGCAGTAAAAGCCATGGGAGAAATACTGAGAACATTAATATTTACCAGCAATTCTAGAAGAAATTCTTTTTCAAAAGTTGTGTCTTCATTTTTAGGAAGCGTTGGCAAGAGGCAGAGGTATGATGCCACCTGGTGGAGTGTGTTTGAACTGCAGAATGGAGAATAGTTTATTCAGATCAATTAACTTTAGTTTGGAAACAGTTTTTCTTTTCTTTTCTTTTTCTTCCTTTCCTTTTCTTTCCTTTTTCCCTTCCTTCCTTCCTTCCTTCCTTCTTTCCTTCCTTCCTTCCTTCTTTTTTTTTGGTTTTCCGAGACAGGGTTTCTCTGTAGTTTCAGAGCCTGTTCTGAAACTAGCTCTTATAGACCAGGATGGTCTCAAATTCCACCTGCCTCTGCCACAGGGATTAAAGGTGTGCAAGCACACCACACCACCATCCCTCCGTTTTCCTACTCTTATCTTAAAAAGTAAATATAACCCCAGGCCATAAGCATCAAAACAGACAAACAAACAAAAACAAACAACAACGACAAAAACTAAAAAACAGGGGTTAAAACGTCTGAAGTATTTTCTGGGGACCTGAAAACCACTGAAGGACTCTGCAAGGACACCACTTTTTGCTTGGACCAGAGTCCAGCTAGCTCTTGATGTAGTGCCTCCTTGCTCCCACGGGGACTATCTAAAGTCAGTTACACTTAAGAACGACGTTGATGAAATAGAAAACATTTCTACTGAAAAAGTTACCAACACTGGACTCTTAGACATTTTAAAGCAGTATGTGACAAAATTCAAAGTATGTATTTTACATGTAATTTTTTTACGTGAAAAAAGATAAATTATCCTTATTTGTCTTTTATTAACAGTATTTTTCTTTTATCAACCCAAAATTTTTTCTTATGTCTTTTATATCAAGTCTCTCTTTTTCATTGCAAACCCCCTTAAACTGCTAATCTATTTTCAATTTTGTTTTCCAAGTCAAATAAATGGTCTAGCTTTTTACCTTGGCTAGGTAATGCACTGATATTCAACAGCAAAGCAATCAAGAAGGAGTACAATGGGGAACACTACTAGCATGCCTGAAATACCTACAAGATCCCTGACTGTTTTAAATACACAGGAAATAAGAAGTAAATAAGCTAGTAACTCTTATCTTCCAAAAAATACAGTAGTGGATATGTACTAGATAGTATTACTGATGCTACATATCTTAAAACCACAAGATTTTCCTAAGTTATACCGTTAATATCAAACATGAAGCTTTACTGGTTTCTGTTATATTCTGTTTATAACTAGCCAGCTTAATGCTCTGCTTAAAGAACAATGGCCTAAGTTATTAAAAATATTTTCACCCCTTCCCAAGGAAAAGATGGTTAGTTATATTTAAGTGACTCTTTCCTAACAGCTAGAGGTAAGCAGCAGTTGTGAGGCTGACCAGGGGCCACCACACAGCCTAAGGCAGTAGAAAAGGAATAAAAGCAACAGGGAAAAGAAAATCCCAACAGCCATGTTCTAAGGAAGAATGCTGTTCTTTTCATGTAGTCTTACCTGAGAGGCCCAAAGAACTTGACCAAGGAATCCCGGGCATCTACTTCTGCCACATTGGAAAGGGCGAAGTCATAGAGTTCGGGGAAGTGCGCAAAAGCAGCTCTCTAGAAAAGCCAACCGTCAACAGTCAACGCCTGTGCATCAACACAACCACCTGGGATTCCTAGGCCATATGGGGGATTGCATGTTGTTCAAACTCCATGGGTTTGTGTACTTTCATTTCTCTTGCTGTTGATATCCCGTGTGTTATTTCATTCTCTTGTATTTGTTGAGGCTTGCTTTTTGTCTTAGTATGTGAAATATTTTGGAAAAATGTGTGACTTTAGTGTTTATGAATACTATGGAGATATCTATTACATTCATTTGATTTGTGATTTCGGTAAGTAATAAATACTCACTACATCTTATGTTTATCTTCTATGTGATCCCTGCCTCATTAAACAATAGGGAAAGCTTCAATTGTTCTAGCAGGAAAACAACAGTATCTGAGGTTTGTGCTCCCTTTCCACCACTGCAGGGAGTGAACCCAAAAGCCTTGTGCATGCCAAGGAAGCACTCCACCACAGCGACACCCCTAGCTTTCTGTGACCCCACCACAGTTGACACGAAAATGGCATGCATGTTAGCTTCCTTTGCAGTGAACTCTAATATTTTATGACCAAGAACTAGCCCTAAAAACAAGTCCTAGGGATACTGTACTGGAGATTAACCCAAGGAGAAGTGGAAAATACAGCATGCTTCTGACTGATTGATCTCTGGGAAGATAAGACCTGGCAAGGGGCATCCAGACCAATCTGGAGTAAAGGACAAGGCAGGCACACTGTGAGGATCCGACAGACTGAAGTAACAGTCTTTCTCTTAGATCATGCCTCTGTGTTATAGAAAAGAACTAGAAGTCCTTCTATCAGGGTGGATGGCACAGAAGGTCACCAAACGTAGAGGTAGGCTTGTCATGAAATCGCTAGACAACTGCAAAGTGACCCTAAAACCAAGCCTGAGAGGAAGGGGCCTACACCAAGAAAAGCATGAGTCAGACATTTACACAGCGGCTTCAGTCACTCAAAGCGCAGAGGAAAGAGGACAAAAGCACTACTGCTCTGCAGAAGGCGGAAAGAGATGCCTGCGCTCACTCTTCTTCCAAAAAGACGTGGCACCTTAGTGCTCCATGTCACCCACCCAGTATTTAGGGAAGGTCTATAGCCGGTGAGAGATTAGGACTGACTATGAAAGAGAGTGTGAATTAAGCATGACACTGTTATTCTTCAGAGACACACTCTAAATTGACAAGCCAGGTGTGAGGATTAATCTAGAATGTCAACTTGATGGGGTTCGAAATGATCAGGGAAATAAATTCTGGATGTGTCTATGAGAGATTGTCCAGATTACTTTAGCAGAGGTGGGGAGACCACAAATATGCAGCGCCATCCCATGGGCTGGGGTCCTGGACTGCATAAAAAGGAGAAAATGAGCCTGGCAGTGGTAGTGCATGCCTTGTCTTTAATCCCAGCACTCAGGAGGCAGAGGAGGCGGATCTCTGTGAGTTCGAAGGCAGCCTGGGCTACAAGAGCGAATTTCAGAACCAGCTCCAAAGCTACAGAAAAACCCTGTCTTCAAAACCAAAACCAAAACCGATAAAAACAAAAGGGGGGCGGTGGGGATGAGCCATCACCTCTGCTTTCTCACTGCAGATGCAATGTGATTCCTGCCTCACACTCCTGACACTGAGTGAGCCTTCCCTGTCCTGATGAGCTGTCCCTTCTTTCTTTAAGTTGCTGTAGACGGCCGATTCACCAGAGCAGCATGACTAGTAACTGGTGTGCTGGCGTGGCTGCAGTCCCAGCACTCAGAGGCTAAGGTAAGAGGATTCAAAGTTCAGGCCAGACTGGACTACATAACATGACTATTTCTCAGAAATAGTAATCGGTGAACAAATGAATAAATAGAGTGACAGAAAACAGAGGGACTTTTGGGACCTGTTCGAGCTATACTGATAAATTTCACTCCTATGACATGTATTTATTGTAAAAATATTTATAAAGCATAAGTATATAAATAAGATATATGAAAATGATACCTAAAAGTAAAAATATGTATAATAATTTACCTTGGTTTTTTTTTTTTAGATTTCATTATTTATTTATTTTTGGTTTTTTTGGGACAGGGTTTCTCTGTGGAACAGCCCTAGCTATCCTGAAACTAGCTCTTCTAGACCAGGCTGGCCTTGAACTCAGAGATCCGGCAGCCTCTGCCTCCCAAGTGCTGAAATTAAAGTTGTGTGCCACCACCGCCCAACTATAATTCACCTTGTTATATGTATGAGTGTGTTTGTCTCCCTGCAAGCATCATGGCAAGCAGGGAAACAAACCTCGAAGAGACGAGAATAAAAACTTGGTTCAACCTGACTTAGTCAATTTGGATCAAACTTGTAGAGAGTGTAATCCCAGGAGGTTTATTGTAAGCATATTTAAACACAGTAGAATTTGCGGGGAGGGGAGAGGCAAGGAGAGGAGCAGAGAAAAATGTAGAGCTCTATAAAAATCAATTAGAAAATAAAAGAGAGAAAGAAAAGGTATACTGCATTTTATTTACCTGAAGAGATGTAATTCTGTCATAGTGAATTGTGGTCATCTCATTCTCTGTCAGAGCATTTCCAGTCTGGTCATTAATTTCAAAGCCAGTATAGAACTTCAGCATCTCTAAAAGCTGGAAGAATTCATTTAAATTAATATATTATTTATTAAAAGTAATAAAAAATTATGTCTTTCAGGGGTTGAAAATTTCAGAAGGTAGCATTACACAACAAATATTTGAGAACATACCCAAACATATTTAACTTATGTGAAAATAAAATGTGTTTTATGAATAAATTATTAAGCCTACTTCATACACATAGTCCACTCCTACTGAGAAATTCAACTGCAATCCCAATACAACAGAAGAATTTTGCATATTAGATCATCCTGCGACAAGGTCTGTGAGGGACTGCCTTAACTGATAATCAATGTGGGGCGGCCCGGACAACTGTAGGTGACACCATCTCTAGGCAGATGGGTCTGAGTTGTTTAAGAAAGCTACTTAACCATGAGGCAAAGAGCAAGCCACCAAGTAGCATGCCCTCACAGTTCTGCTTTGGTTCTCTGCTTACACTGTTGCCCTCATTTTAAGGATGGGCTGTGACTTGGAAGTTTAAGGCAAACCAACACTTTCCACTCCAAGCTGCTTTCCAAAGTGTTTATTGCCAACACAGTAAAGCAAACCGTAGCAGTATATCACTCATGCCTCCCATGAGTCTCCACGGTCATCACACCTCTTCAGCTTAGCTCATGATGAAGAGGCCTTGCTTTCTGCACATGGAAGCACATCCAAGGCACATTCTGGCTGCATTCACTTAAAGATTTACTATTTTTAGTCCTAACCTGTGACACATTATAGTCAATTACTAAGAGTTTATATGGCAAATCATTGAACAAAATTTTTGTTGAATGAAAAAGAAATAGAAGTGCTTAGTAAGATAAGAGATAAAGAGTATGTAACACACATAGAACCTGTATCTTAAATTTACTCTCACCAGAAAAACATAATTACAAATTAGATGTTTTCTTTTGTTTGACATGACAGGAAATCCAAAGTACCAACACACTGCCTTCCTACCTAAAGCAATAAGCTGAAATGCATTTGCCTTCCTACTCAATGAAGCAGACTGATGGAGGAAGGTCATTGGCTAATAAAGGAACTGCCCTGGCCCATTTTATTGGTTAGAAGTTAGGTGGGAGGAGTAAACAGAACAGAACTCTGGGAGGAAGAGGAAGTGAGGTCAGATTCAACAGCTCTGCTCTCGGGAGCAGACGCCTGAGAGAGACGCCATGCCCCGCTCCCGGCATGAAGTTCCGACCCAGGATGGACTAGGCTAGAATCTTCCTGGTAAGCGCACCTTGGGGTGCCATACACAGATGATTAGAAATGGGCTAAATTAAGATGTGAGAATTAGCCTGTAAGTGCTAGAGCTAAAGGGCCAAGCAGTGCTTAAAAGAATACAGTGTCTGTGTAATTATTTCGGGGCATAAGCTAGCCGGGCAGGCGGCCAGGGTGTTGGGGACGCAGCCCCGCCGCTGCCCCTATTACTACAGCAGACTGGGTGCAGGACTTTCCTATGCCATCAACTGCCTGTCACTGTTGTCACAGGCAAGAGCAACCATGACCTTGCAGTTAATACTTTTACCTGTTAGATCTCACAGTGGCTTTTCACATAAAATTAAAATATATGAACACATGAGACTACATTTCCAAAGCCATAATTTAGTTCAATAACAAAAGAACGTAGAGTTAACACAAGTTAGATAATTACTAGAGTTGTATAGGTGCATTCCAGTATGTATACAACATTCAAGTCAATATTCTAGAATTTTGCTTTGGCTCACGCCCTGGTATTTCCAGCTGCATAGTAAAGCAAAGATCAACTTAAGAGATCACAACATTCAAAGTGTCAGATCCACGAGAACTCACCTGGGAAAACAGATGGCCATCCCCTTCTCTGTGAACAAGACTGGAAAGGTAACAGTGAACCAAAAGGTGGGAGTCATCCAGGATGGTATTAAACCAGCGCCTCGTGGGGAGCAGAGCCTGGAAAAGATAAACACCATAGCATTCATTTTGCCTGATTCTCTGCAGCTAGAGATAAAATCTACTACTATTTCATACCAAGTGGACATCACAAATACCCTCCTGCATGTCCAAAGACACCTGGTATACAAAACAAAGGGCCTCATCCATGCTGTAAAACAAAACTAAAACAAAAACACTCAATGTCAATGCTTTTCCTTCTAAAAACAATGGGGGCACAACTTAGAAGATAAAAATAAGAGCAGACACAGGAAGAATCTAACAGATCATCTATCCTGTTTATAAGTTTTTAAGCAAGATCTACATGAAACTCTAGTATGCATTGCACATAACTGTAAAAGCAAAGCTCTTTTCCATTTCCTGTTCTTGCTTCCCTTATGACACTAAGAGAGACAGTGATGAGAAACTGAGATGGACAGCTTGACAAGTTATGAAGAACATCACTGAGGAGACAAAGTTACTCTGATTTGACACAGTGAGAGTATACATTAGTCACTGGTAGAGTTAGCAGATGATAAAATCCTCAAGAACGATTGTTAGTCTAATAGTTTTAACACTCATTTCAAACCAGGGGACATATTTTATTTCAATTTCCTACATTAGAGAAGAAAAGGAAATGGATTACTCTGAATTACATCAACTTATATCTGAACTTTCTGAAAGAATCCCATTCTTAACAATATGAAATCGTTAAAAAATCTAAATTTTAAAAGGCAAAAGAACCCATGCCAACAGGACAGTTAGCACAAAACCTCAAGGAATCAAACCCTGAGACTTCCTTGTCTACATGAAACCTTGAAATAAAAACAGACCAAGGGTCATTTCAAGTATTTCAGATGTATCTATAGCTTGATCTTCGACTTTTAAGGAATACATAACATGTTGATATATATATATATTTCTTACCTCTAGATCAATCATAAGTTCGATGAATCTTTCACAGTAATGAACTTTGTCCATAGTGACAGGCTCTAAACATGAGAGAAACATGTTAGAATTTTACCAAGCCATTTTGTGTGCTATTTCTTAAAACTGGCAGCTAATAAATAATTTAAACAAACTCATTTATCTTATTCTATGCAACTCAACTATGATTCAGAATAAGAATCTCACTTATTTTTTTTTTTTCAAGGCAGGCAATCACTATTTAATTCTACTAATATGAGAAAATGAAGAAATCTAGATTGGGTCTGAAGTGTATTTTAATAATCTGATGTGTAAATTATTTATAGCTTTAAATTAATTTCATGTGTATGAGTGCCTACAGGTATGTTTGTGCACCATGGTCTGCAGAGGACGGAAGAAGGCATCAGATCATCTAGAACTAGAGTTATATATGGTGTTCTGTCACATACATGCTGGGAGCTACACGTAGGTCCTTTGTCAAGAGCAGCAAGTGCTCTAACTAATGAGCCCTCTTTCCAGTCTTAATAACTGTAATGTTTTTAGAAATCAAATCAAAGGTAGTTTTCTTTTTAATAGAAGGCAGTTTTATATCTGGTTTGTTTCACTTTCCTCAGTATCATTATATATCAAACTCATAAGAATTCTCAGAAATAGACATAGACACACCATACACATATATATAGTATATACATATATAATATACATTATAAAATATGCATATAATATGTACATACCTACATATGATGTATATAGCCAACTTTGAAGTGGAAAATATATATAGCAAAGAAAAAGTATTTTTTTCACTGTCCATGTATGTCTTTTCATAATCTTAAAAGAGGATTATATTGGCTTAGAAAGAGCATTAACTTTGACATGAAAATGTCAGTGACATTCAGTAGGCTGCCTCTGGTGAACCTTAAGAAAAACATACATAGATCTACCTGGAAAATCAAAATAGACAAGATCGCTTGACAAAATTGGGAGCATGGGGGTGGGGGAAGGGTGGAAGGGGAATAAGGGAAGGAGGAGAACTTGAGGGAGCGGGATAGTCGAGATGGAGGAAGGACAGAGATGAGAGGAAGGAAACAGGTATCTTGATTGAGGAAGACATCATGGGGCTAGCAAAAACCTGACACTAGAGAAATTCCCAAGAATCCACAAGGATGACCTCAGCTAAGACCTTAAGTAGTAGAGGAGAGGGTGCCCAAACTGGCCTTGCCCTGTAGTCAGACTGATGAATATCTTAAATATCACCATAGAACCTTCATCCAGCAACTGATGGAAACAGAGGCAGAGACCTGCATCGGAGCACTGGACTGAGCTCCCAAAGTCCAGTTGAAGAGTGGGAGGAGTGAGAATATGAGCAAAGAGATCAGGACCATGATGGGGCACCAATTCCAGCTGGACTGGGAAGGAACAAGCATAGGTCCAAACTAGTCCCTCTGAATGTGGCTGACAGTTGCATGGCTGGGGCAGACTGAGGAACCACTGGCAGTGGCACCGTGATTTATCCCTACTGCATGTACTGGGTTTTTGGGATCCTATTCTTTTTGGATGTATACTTTGCTCAGGTAGGGAGGGCCTTGGACCTTCCACAAAGCAATGTGTTTACCCTCTCTGTGGAGGGAGGGGTGAGTGGAGGGAATGGGAAGAGGGGAGGGCGTGGGAACTTGGATTGGTATGTATAATGAAAAAAGATGATAGTTTGTTTTCTTTAAAAAAAAAATAAAAAGAAAAGAAGAGAATGTCAATGTACAAATAAAGAACTAAAAAAATTTAAATTTAAAATTAAAAAAAAATTTAAAAATACTGATTGATGATATTCATGAACATGATATACTATTGTTTTTGAAAAATTCATTTTTAATAACAGCCTTGGGAAATAAAATACTTTTTGGATGTAAGTTTTGTTTTTTCTTAATACCAGGAAATGATCTATCACTTACCCTCTAGAACCATGGTGTCAACACTGTTCCTAGTGACACACATTATTTAACCATTGCTTAGCTAAGACTCTAAGCAGTGACTAATCAAACACAGCATCCATAAATACCAATCCATAAACACTTAAAAATGCATTTATTCATTTGCCATATGCAGGAAAATGGAAGGTTAAATGCTGTAGAAATTTATATTAGTTTCCACCTACTGTATGAAAATGCTAATGGCAATTTTCTCCCCTGAACTTCTTCTCCAGTTAGTACCTACCCATTGCCCAGATGCCAAATCAATAGATTATAATATCTGGAGAGACAGTAAATATCTATTCTAGATAGTTATTTTCCATGTAATAAACTGAGGACAAGATAAAGCAAGCTGATGAAGATGGACACTAGATCCTGATTTTTTGACTTCATCCTTGGCCACAGGGCTCTTACGAATAAAGCCAGGTAATCAGATCATACAATCTTAGCACTCTGGATGACATAGCAAGAGGAGCAGAGGCTTAGGACTAGCCTGGATACCCAGTGAGCTTCAGGCCATTATGTTCTATAGAGCAAGACCTAACCAAAAAACAAACAAACAAAAAAGAACTCCCCAAAAAAACAAAAACAAAAACAAAAAAACCCTTCAAAGTAACCAATAAACTTAGCAGCCAAAACTCACAAATAACATAGAACGTATAAGGTCCTATGATCAATAAATGAAAGAATTTAAGAGGCTATGTTTAAATTAAATGCTTTCAAACTAGTACTTGGATGCTGTGCAAGAATTTTTTTGTTGTTCTAAAACTAAAAATTAAAACAAAACAAAAATAAATTCTGTACTCTACTTCTATATAGCTTGAAAAAAATGACAAAGGTCATGTTAAAATTAGAATACAAAGCTTGGTGCACAAGCTCTGCTCTGGCAGACAGAGGTGCATCAGTAAAACCCTTTCCCATAGTGCACTTGGCAGTCTAGTCTCTATACTTGCATGTATTATATGCACCCAAACCCTTCTCCAGTGATGCATGCAGCATGAAATCTGAAGGGAAGATACTTTAGGGGAAGGAGATAGATCAGCAAGATAGGGAGGGACAGGAAGAATGAGGGAGGGCAGTGAGAAAGGGAAATGAATGAGAATAAAAGTATATATGAAATTCCATGATGAGACCCATTACATTGTACACTAATTTAAAAATATTAAAGAAATATGGGTAAAGACGGACTTGAGCCATCTCATTTTGTAGTTTATTATCTCAGAAACACTACCCTGCTGAAATGTTATCCCCTGAAAACTCTATTCAGCACTGTACTATAAAACAGCAAGTGAGGGCTATAAACACCTTATTCACTATTGTCCCCAGCATCCTGCAGAGAACTTGGACCTGGTAAGCAAGTGCAAAATGTTTACTAACTAAATGAACATTTCAATAACCATGCTGGTGCCTCAATAACCCTCTAAGGTAATCCCAATGCTCAGGCTGGCAATATACAGGAAATGGAAATGGCACACATTTGCCATTACATCTTTAAATCACTAGGAGCAGCGTTTGGAGCAGAAGTGAGTAAATTCCAGGAGGGCAACTACACACTAATATACAGTGAGCTGGATAAAGGTGGCCACTTACCAGAAAGTGGGATGGACTTCAGCACGGAAATAAACTTCTGGATGAGCTGGGAAAGAAACCTTCTTTCTTGGTATGCCCTAAAAATCAAACAGTAACCCAATTATTTCTGAGTTATTAAAAAGCAAATTCAAACACTGAGCTGTCTAAATGTTTTGTCTCTCTGATATTGGGCACATAGTATCTCTTTGTAAACACACAGGAAGAAAGGAACAGCCTCATTACTGACCTGATTTGCCTATTAAGCACCTCCTCCAGTTACTTTAAGCTTCCATTTAAATTCAGGGCCAAGACTGCATAGAATGGTTCAAAATTGCATCTATGCTGTCTTAAAAGTCTAACGTTTAGGTGCTGGAGAAACGGCTTAGCTGTTAAGAACACTTGCTGCTCTTCCAGCTGAACTGGGGTTCAGTTCCTGGCACCTACATGATAGTTCACAACCACTTGTAACTCCAGTTCCAGATCTGATGCACTCTTCTGGCCTCTAATAGCAATGAATGCATGTGCTGCACCTACATAGATGCAGGCGACACACACACACACACACACACACGCACACACACACACACACGCACGCACATACACACACCACTTTTAAAAATCTCATATTTAACCAGGCATGGTGGTATATGCCATTAATCTCTGTACTCAGGAAGCAGAAGTAGGAGAATTTCTGTGAATTCAAGGCCAGCTTGGTCTACATGGAAAGTTTCAGGCTAGCCAGAGTGAGATACATAGTGAAACTCTGTCAAAAAAGAATAACAAAAACAAACAAACAAAAACTAATGTAGCTAAATTGACAGAAGCAACTTTATATCTTAATATGTTTACAGTACCAAATACAGTGAGAGTATCATAATGTTTAATTACTAATTAAACATTAGTCTAAAAATCCAATTCCTACTGCTTTCTGAATTGACCATCAACTGACAAACACATCAGGTATTGGATAGTTGCAAATGCTCCTACCAGAAATGCAAAGTAAGGGGAGTGATCACAGTCTACTTAGGAAGGGGAGATGGATCAATCAGTAAAGTAGTAGTTTTACAACAACCTTGAAGACCTGAGCTTGGGTCCCTAGCACCCATGGAAAAAGCCTTGCATGAGGCTGTGCATCTGTAATACCAGTGGTGAGAGGTAGAGACATGAGGATCCAGGGAGGTGGCTATACATTCAGTGACAGACCTTACTCAAAAAAATGAGGCAGAGAGCAATAGAGAAAAATACCTAACATCAGTCTCTGGCCTCTGAGCACACACATGTGCACATTGCAGATCTCTGTAAAAATACTCATAATAATCTAAATGAAAGCATTTATTAACAATTTATAATAGCATTACAAGAAGAAAGCAGGCAATAAATTAGGCAGTGTTGTGATCCAATGCCTAATGGGGAAGAAAGTTTTGCCCACATACTGCTCTCTTGCTTCTGGGTCCATCTTTTCATCATTCTTTTTAATCAAGTTCCAGAATTTTCTTAGCTTTGGTGTCTTTTTTAATTCTAATTCCAATCGTGCCTAAAAGAGAAATATGATATATACAACAATCAATAACACTAATATTTATGAGGATACTTAGATTGACCATTAGCTAGTCCCTTAATATATGATGACATGGGATCACCTGAAAATAATAAGATGAAGTGTGAAAACTAAGGAATGAATTGTATTCAATTATTATTCAATTCTGTATTTTTAATAAAAATAAGATAGAAGAAACTACCTTTAATAATCATTATTATAAGTTCAATAATTTATTTCTAAAATTAAGAATTTAAGGCTGAAAAATATAAGCACGAATGCTTATAAGCATTATCACTGAAATAAAATCCAAGTCTCCAATGATGAACACAAAAATAACTGTCAAGGTTGGATATGTATCTTGGTGATATATGCTTTGCTTAGGATGACAAATCTCTGGGTTCAACCCCCAATGCTGGGGTCAGGGCAGAGGATAGGCCCTGCCAAATGGAAATAAGTAGTAAATGGTTGAGCAAGGCCGAGCATGGTATACCAATATGCTCAGCACTGATTAAAAAAAAAAAAAAAAAAAAAGCAAGGTCCAGGTAAAGATCCCATCTCATCAAAGAAACAAAAGAGACAACAAGTGCCCACATGAGCACACCTTCTCCTGTGGTACTCACCACTTGTCAAGCTAGTTTTGTTTCTGCGTGTCTCACTCTATCTGTAACTGGTACTATAGTATTATTTTATCGGTCTCAGTCAACTGGTACAGATGATTGATTGGCCTGCATACCTGGCTGTGTACAGAGACTCACGCAGGAAATAGAATGTTGCATAAAGCTTTACACTTACTTAAACCTGGTAGCTTTCAGTTGATACAGAAGATATGCTAATCTATTACATACACATCATTTAATAAAAAGTTAATGGAAAGGCAGAGATAGCTAATATTAAACATGATCCAGACCTTCTATAGCTGTATACACATCCTAAGCCTGGAAATAAATAAAATTCAAGTTTACATTTAGCCTCGTCCAAATACATACGGAAGGATAACAATCACACTTTACTAAATTATCCTCTTTCTCTTCAAGTTCAATAAATGGCCCCTCATTTCACTTTACAATATTAAAAATTAAGTGGAGCATACATTAGGATGCATGCAACATTCCTTAAAACTGTAAAAGCTACATTTACAATAAGTTAATACACAATAAAATCCTAAGAAGGAAAGTAGATTTTAGCTGACACAGTTTTGTGTTCATGTTAAAGCCACTCAGTCTGAAACCACATGACATGTGACAGACACATGGAGAGCATTCTGGAATAGGTACTTACAGGCTGCAAGCCCATCCACATAGGGAGGGAGATAAGCTGCTGTACTTGACTCCTTATCAAGTCTACTTCCTGTTCAAAGCATGAAGAAAACAAGTTTATATATATATATATATATATTCCAGTATTTTTACCTAAGTTCTTATATATAGTTTATTTCCTTTTAAAGTCTTGGAAGAAAAACATGTCATCAACACTTTAAAATTGGTGATATTTTACTACTTAGAAGTTCAACAAGGGACTAGAGATGGTTAAGAGCAATTGCTGCTTTTAGAGAGGACCAGGGTTTGGCTCCCAGCATGCATCTTGAGAGGATCACAACAGTGTGTAACTCCAACTCCAGGATATCTGCCATCCTTTTCTGGCCTCTGTTGGTACCCACATACACATGGCACACACACATATACAAAATCAATCTTTAAAAAAAAAAATCAATATTTAAAATGGCAGTTTCCATTATTTGCAGATTTCATATAAAAAAACTCATTTATTAACAAAAATGTATTTGAAACCCCTAGATTAATACTTCCTGCAGTAATCACAAAGAACACAAAACAGCAGCAAGTTTAAGTTTCCCCAGGTACCTAACTCCCCTGAGGCTGTTACCTCTCTGCTTCAGTTCCAGTTATCATACACTAGCAAGTGTCTTTTCTGAGATGTAGTGTTACATTTTGATTATTGTATCTTGTTTGTGATTTAATCCTTTTATTATGGATCCCCAAAACAAGGCTGAAATACTATCTGAAGCTCATAGTTATAATATACTCAATACACTGCCCTGTCTTCTTTTAGATTTATTATTTGTGTGTGTGTGCACCTGAGAATGCCAGAAGAGGCCCCAAATCCCCTGGAGTTATAGACAATTAATTATAAGTAGCCCTACATGTAGTAATGGGAAGAGAACTCGGGTCCACTGGAAGAACACCAAAGGCTCTTAACCATGCATCTCTCCAGCCCTTACATGTGTGTCGTTGTGCACCCCCCCCCCCCCCCCCGAGACAAGGTTTCTCTGTAACTTTGGAGCCTGTCCTGGAACTAGCTCTTGTAGACCAGGCTGGCTTCGAACTTACAGAGATCTGCCTGCTTCAGACTCCCGAATGCTGGGATTAAAGGCATGAGCCACCACTGACCAGCCCTGCCACGTGTCTTACATAGAAAACATGTGTGTTAGATAAATTGCATTTAATAACAGTGCTGATGATGGAGAGCTTATAGATAATCAAAATAATATATTAAGTAGCATGTCTTTAAACAGAAACAAGCATAAAGGTTATGGCCCGAGTCAGGTGTCATCTCAACTTACTCTAGAAGAATATGGAAAGTTGCAGAATTGAATGGAAAGTAAATTTACCAAGCTATTGAAGCAATGATCCAGGAAGAGCAGGAGGACGGTCTGTTCATGGAGGGAGAACTCGCCATCAGTCTCAGCCAATGCTGCTTTCAAGATGCACTTAAAAAAGAACGGGAAGTGGTCTGGCTTCTTCTTAAAGGTCTGAAAGAATAAAAGTTCACTTTGAGCCGGGGTGGAGGGTGGGATGGTGCACACTTTAATCCCAGCACTTGGAAGACAGAGGCAAGTGGGTCTCTGAGTTTCAGGTCAGCCTGGTCTACAGAGTGAGTTCCAAAACAGTCAGAGCTACACAGAGAAACCCTGTCGCAAAAAACTAACAAACAAAAAACTAACAAATAATTCACTTAGAGCTCTTGTTTGCATTTTTCTTTCTTAAAGAAGTGCTGGTGGGTGTTTTAGAAATATATTAACAAAATTAAACCAGCTGGGCAGTGGTGGTGCATGCCTTTAATCCCAGCACTCAGGAGGCAGAAGCAAGCAGATCTTTGTGAGTTTGAGGCAAGCCTGGACTACAAGAGCTAGTTCCAGGATAGGCTCCAAAGCTACAGAGAAACCCTGCCTCAAAAAAGAAAAAAACACAAAATCAAAAAAAAAAATTAAATCATTACATGATTATTGTATATGTGACTAGAGAAGTAATGCATATGATAGTAGGTCAAATAGAACTTTTTTGACAGGGCTATGAGAGACCTAAAGCTAACAGAATAATGACTTCAATTCTCTTACTTATTCTTATGTACTTAGATAAAGGTTTATTCTCTCACTGAGACAGTGGGGCTGATCTATTGGGAGCTCACCAAGGCCAGCTGGACTGGGACTGAAAAAGCATGGGATAAAACCGGACTCTTTGAACATGGCGGACAATGAGGGCTGATGAGAAGCCAAAGACAATGGCACTGGGTTTTGATCCTACTTCATGTTCTGGCTTTGTGGGAGCCTAGCCAGTATGGATGTTCACCTTCCTAGACCTGGATGGAGGGGGGAGGACCTTGGACTTTCCACAGGGCAGGGAACCCTGACTGCTCTTCGGACTGGAGAGGGAGGGGGAGAGGAGTGGGGGGAGGAGGAGAAGAGTGGGAGGAGGGGGAGGGAAATGGGAGGCTGGGAGGAGGCGGGAATTTCTTTTTTTTTTCAATAAAAAAAAAGAAGATTTTGGAATATTTTCATTCCTTTAATTTGAACAAAACAACTACATCTTTGAGAAAACCTATGGTTTTCATGCTGTAGTTAATCTCTATTTCTCCTGCTCTATACAAGTTCTTGACACTTAGAATGCAAATAACATAAATATATTCAAGGCCTTGCTACTTATTGCCACACATAAGTGAAAGAGATGTTTGGCTATTCTAGTTGTTTCCGTTTTCTTCCCTAAACCAACCTCTACCAACAGTTCCCATGATACTAATGGCAGTTAAGTCCAAATGACCCTTATCCTCTGTTTCTTTCTCCTTCCAGGACTTTGCATGCTAAGAAAGTGCTCTACCACTGAACTACATCCTAGCTCCTGAGCTGCTTGTTACTGTAGTTAACTTACTACAACAGAAGTTTGTATCTCAAGTTCTGGTCCATTGTTCTTCCCCAACTCACATTATCCTATGCTCATGATTCTAAAGATACATCTTCAGGGGGCTGGAGAGATGGCTCAGGGGTTAAGAGCACTGACTGCTCTTCCAGAGGTCCTCGGTTCAATTCCCAGCACCCACATGGCAGCTCACACCTGTGTGTAACTGCAGTTCCAGGGGATCTGACACCTTCACACCAGTGCACATAAAATAAAGGTTTTTGTTTTGTTTTGTTTTTAAAAAGGTACATCTTCATTCCTGATCTCCTCATCACCTAATCTTTACATTTATCAGTTTTACTACCAGATTAAAAAGGTAATTTAAACTCTAACATTTAAACTAAAAAAGTCCACAGTTTCTTCAATTCCTCTATTCCTTTACAGTAAATGGTACCATCACCTATTTTCAGTTGCCTAAGTTTGGTAAGTTATTGAAAATTAGTACACTTCCTTAATGCTACATCAATTATCAAAACCAATCAGTTTATTATTTCTAAATCTTATATGTCCTCTGAATCTATGACAGTAGCATTTTATCCATATTGTTTTTCTTCGATTTCAGTTACCTGTATCGTCTACACTCTAAAATTATTAAAGGGAAAATTCTAGAAAGAAACAATTCATTTATTTTCAACAATACACTGTCCTAAGGAATATGATGAACCAGTGCTCTTGTGGCCTGGACTGACCACACCCTGGCCCACAGTCTACATAAGCTATGTGCCCACTAGACACTCTGCCTTCTCATTGAGCAGACTGATTTCACTTAACCCTTATTTTCTGTAATAATCACTACACATTACAAAAGTGATCCTGACAATTTAAGACTAGTATAGAATAATTCTATTAGTCACTGTTGAACTCTTACACTGCCCAATTTATAGATGGAACTTTATCCTAATTACTACATAGGAAAGTGTGTATGTGTAGAGAAATAATGTGTGTGTATATATGTATGTATGTGTATATATATAAAGAGATATGTGTGCATAAATACACACATATAAATTCATATACTACTCTATAGGAATGTGTGTGTGTAAAGAAAGAATGTGTGTGTATATATGTATATATATATATATAGAAAGAGATGTATGATATATATATATATTTATATGTTACTCCATAGAAAAGTATGTGTGTGTGTGTATAGAAAGTGTGTGTGTGTATATAAAGAGGGAGAGAGATATGAGTTCATATATATATATATATATATATATATATATATTTATATGCTACTCCATAGTAAAGTGTGTGTGCGTATGTGTTTATAGGTACTGTCATCTGAAGTGATATTTACTAGGGTTCTAGAATGCATTTTTGTGTAAAACAGAGGAATTCCTGCCCTGTTATTCCTTTATTTCAAACTCTAATCACTAAAGTGGTCTCTATATTTTATCAATTGGCAAAATTACTATCTGGCTTAAAAAAATTCTCTCTTCCTTTCTATAATCATTTGAAGCAATTTCCTGAGATCCCTAGGATATCTTGTAACACCTTAGGTTAACCTGTAAGCCCTACCTGCCCAAGAACCAGGTAACTTCCTGGGATTCTGGGAGCTGTAGTTCTTAGAAAACAACAGCAAAAGCCTTAGGGGAAAGTATGGCGACTGTATGGGTTTGTCATTAAGTAGCTCTGCAACATGTGTCTAGAGGCCAATCAGATGGAAGTCCCAGCAAATGGTCCTGACCAAAGTCTATCTTGGTCAGTATTTAATATTTAAATAAAGCTTGTTTCCAACTTGGCTCAAAATGATTAAACTGGTTTTTTTCTGGCAAATCTCAGGAGCCATAGTTTAACCTGAGCTCAAATGTGCCCTGGGATACAGTCAGTATTTGAGAGAAATGTCCATGTTTTAATCTTAACAATTCTAACTAACTTAATCTTAAACAATTCCTCACTTCGGAAACCACTTCATCGAAATAGATGACAACTACTATTTTTTTCTTCATTAAAAAAGAAAATCTACATTCCGAGTTAGACTCTGTTGAGCCGTAAAAGAAACGGTTAGCTCGTTAGTAATTTCCACATGGCAAAAGAAGTCCCAGGCTGGAAAGGAGGTCAGGAGACTAAACTGCAAATACAGCGCAGCACACATCAGCTTTCACACATCATCTCCTAGAGCTCCCAATACAACTTGTGCTTTGCCAGCTCCAAATGTCAGTCCCCGTTTCAATCACACAGAAAAACAACTCTACATTCTTATTATTTAAGTCCTAGAAAACCAGCTGCAAGTACTACAATCAGAAGAAAGCTAAGAGGACCTCTCAAACATCCATTCTTTGTCTCCTAGTGCTTTACTATTGGGTGATCTCCCACCCTAAGCTTAGGGATAGCTGCTATCAGGAAGATTCTGCTACTCTGTAATGCTTAAGGGGGCCAGAGTGAGAGCTGTGAAATAACTCAATTTTGTGTTTACCTCCCAGGCTGGGACATTTTCTCTGAACTTCTCATTCACCATACAGCAGATGGACATTAAATAGGCCTTGCTGGAAACTTCTGGAGAATAATTCATCCAGAGGTAATTTTCAAGATATTGACTGTAAGGAGATAAAAAGTTGCACAGAATATTTCATTAGTTATCACAGGCATTGTACTGCATACGGCACCTGAAAAGAAGATTATTTCTACATCTTTCACAGGGTTCCCTGTACTCCACACCGGTGCTTCTTCTGTAACCTTACATCTAGAAACCATGGCTCCATGAATGACAGACTGCACTCCTAAGCAAGAAGATGTCAATGGATGGTTATGTTCAAATCTTTATTGGTAACTTGAGTAAATTTAGAATCACCTAAGAGACATACGTTTTGGTGTGTCTGTGAGAATGTTCACAGAGATATTAAATGAGGAATGTAGACATCTTGGACTGAATGAAAAAAGAAAAAGTACAAAGTGTGCTGAGCACCAGTCCTCACTTCCCCGTTTCCTGACAGTGGAGGCAATGGTGACCAGAACTACAGCTGCTTTTACCTCCATGCCTCCTCTACCAAGAGTGAACAACTGTACCTTCATCTGTGAGTTAAACCAAACCCTTCCTTTCTTAAATGGCATGACAAGTACTTTGTCATGGTAACAAGAGAATCCACTCATCCACTCATCAACCAACTCTGAATACTCCCTAACCTGAAGGCTCACACAAGTGAAAGTAAAACCACTCCACAAATATTAACTATAAACTAAAATGATTCTCAGAAAAAATGACTTATAACACGTTGTCAAAAAGAGGCTTCATAAAGCATAATTTAAAAGGTAATTCGCTGGGCGGTGGTGATGCACACCTTTAATCCCAGCACTCAGGAGAGGCAGGCAGATCTCTGTGAGTTCAAGGCCAGCCTGGTTTAAAAGAGCTAGTTCCAGGACAGGCTCCAAAGCTATAGAGAAGCCCTGTCTTGAAAAACAAACAAACAAACAAACAAACAAAAAAACCCAAAAAGGTAATTCAGTTTCCAAGTTAATTGACATTTTCCCCTCTCGGTACTAAAAATTCTTACCATAGTCTTATGGATAGATGAGTAAATTACTTTAAGTATTTCTGACTTTCCAAACATAAGTTAGACAGTGCTTTGAGCTTTGGCATCAGACACAGATATCCCACATCTACCAACCACTTAATTACATTATTTTGAAAACACCTGTGACTTCTGTTTGTCCAGCAATTAGAGGATAATGCCTCAATTTCAGAGTGACTATGAGTGATGTGTATATAAAACATTTAGCACTGTTCAGCTTAAGACATGTTCACAAGCATGCTGAACAGTACTTCTGTTTTCGTTTTTACATACTAGCCAAACTAGATATAGCCTATCTTCTTACACCTTCATAATCAAAAGTTGTATGTAAGCAAGGCATGGTGGCGCACACTTTTAATCTTAGCACTCAGGAATAGAGGCGAGTTCTAGGTAAGCTTGGTCTATAAAGTGAGTTCCAGGACAGCCAAAAGTACATAGAGAGATTCTCTTTCTCTGTCTTTCTGTCTGTCTCTCTAAGACAGGATTTCTCTGTATAGCTTTGACTGTTTTGGAATTCAGTCTGTAGATCAGGCTGTCCATCCAGCCTCTGCTTCCAAAATGCTGGGATTAAAGACACCATAGCTTGGAGAGAGCTTTTCTCAAAAACAAAATAAAACAAAACAAGAAACCAAAACAAACAAACAAAAAAACCAAACCTGTTCTTGGGCTAGGGATATGGGTTAGAGATATGACACATGCTGAACATGAGTAATGTTTAGCAATCTGGAAAAAGGTTACATTTTCTAGTGTTTGAAACATTTACATAGCAGTAGGTAGGTTTGAACAATGGTGTCTTATTCACAAAATTTCAGCTGAGAAAGAAGTTCCAGAGTAAATCCTGATTTATTCCCACAGACCACGTGTAACTAGTGAAGACCATCTCAAAATAAAAGTTACCCTGATAATAGGGTTATCTCTCAAAAAAACAAAAAAAATCAAATTAGACCATCACAAAAATATAAATAGTCATGAATTTAGATTTTATTTGCTATTGGGAATCAAACCACAGCCTTGTACGTGCTAAATGCAACCTGAATCCATGAGCTCTTCCTGAAGGCTACAGAAGTATTTTCGTTGCTGCAAAGGGAGCCTTTACTCACAGGCCATCTTCCATGCAATGCCTTTTCACTCACCTAAATTCCAACAGCATTATTTTCCTGATGGCAAACCTAAAAACATAAAAAGAACCAACTTTGAAATAGAAAACAAAAATATTTCAGAGATCCCAATCCTCATTCATTTGGAATCTTTTGTAATCAAATTAAATGATGCATCAGATTTTATAACATCAGATCACAAAGGCCAAAAGAGTGCACAGGTCAACTTCACAAGCACTAATGCTCTCATCTCACAGATATAGCTACCAATGTCCCAGATGCAGAAATCAGATGTCCCACACACTTCTGAGTCTTCACTGTGGGGAATACTAGGTATCTCTCTATATTATACTCTTCTTTATAATAGAAGTATGTGGCTTTACATGGATAAAAGAAGCTTTACAAAGTACTGCTCCAGAGGCTGATTTTGTTTTAATTATTTTCTAATATTGGGAATAAAGTACCAACACCAGAACACTGCCACTAGGTGGTAGTTTTCAGATTTGAAAATTAGATTTATAACTCCCTAGGAGACTCTTACCCTGCCAAAATCCTATTCTACTGTATTCTGATCACTTAAACAGTTTTACCAACTACACTGTCACAAAACATTAGCAAGGATGAAATGAATGCTTTTACTGTACAAAGGCAAAAAGCTGGAGAAACAATGAGAAAACATTAGCTTCTACAGTTCGGGAAGGCTACAGAGCAGATGTGACACCTTAAGAGACATACTCCGGAGCGGCGGCTTAACTAAAGGTGTATGTATAAGAGAAGAAAACCACCCTAGGCAATAGATACCAGATCGGAAGAGTTTTGGGGATAGAAAAAGCTACAAATATAAATACCAAGAAGGGTTTGTATTTTTCTAAGTTACCAATATGGACCGACAACATACAGTAAGCATGACACTGTGCTCAAAACAACACACATTTCATATGTTCATCCACAGTTGGACAATTGTGTATAACAAACTAGGTCCATTGATGCCATCGGCGATCACATGCAGCTGATAAAGAAACGGTAGGCAGACATGGAAATTGTCTTATTATCGTACATCCTTCCAGGATGTAGTTGTACTAAAACATGGAGTTTGGAGTTGTACAGCACCCTCACAACCACATCTGAAAACTATATAAAGAAAACAATTTATTTTCAAATGCTAAAAAGGGCTCTGTCATATGAATGTGTGATCTGCATGTGTGGACACACATACAGTGTACGTGGAGGTCAGGAGACAACTTTATGGAGTTGGTTCCAGGGATTGAACTTAAGCCTCCAGGTCTGTGTGGCAAGTGTTTCACCTGGTGAGGCATCAGCCTGGCCCAAGTCTGTTGATTTAAAGTTAAAAAAATAAAAAATAAAAAAGCAAGACTATAGCAATTATTTTTTATTTATTTTTCACTTATGAATTAAGATGTTAAAGGAAGAAATAAACAGTGTCTTCTAGAGTACTGACAAAATTCAAGTTTTCTTTGTGGAAATATAATCTAAAGGGTATACTATATCCTGTCAGTGTCACGACTCAATATAAAAATTTGTACGTTTCAAATAAAGATAAATACAAAGTGGCAAATAAAGTATTTGTTAAGTTATTTTTATTTTTCCACCACAAAACCTACCTGGTGGATTCATAACAGGATTAAGAATAATGCCAAGGGGTATAAATTAATCGATCTAGAAGAAAATGGATGCTATTCCTATTAAAGAACAAAGTATTGGATAAGAGCCAAGGAAATAGGTCAGTGCCTCAACTACTAGGCAATACCTAAAAGCAAGCTCCTCAACCATATGCAGGAATTGCAGGAATAGTACCTCAAAGTTTGGGGTGGGGGAAATGCACTCTGTATGCAACACACTTAGAGCAAAGCCAGCACACAGCAAACACTCAAGCAGTAATGACTCCTGCTTTAAACAGAAGTTGCATAAAAATATAGTAAGAGAAGCTTTCCAATCTGACACTGCAAGAAAGAGCAAAAACGAATGAATTGTGCAATAAAGCATGCAAACCATGTGACTAGGCAAAGGGCTTTTAAGATTAATTTTGAGATCTCAGAAAAATCTATTTTTAGATAAGAATATTAAGATCTGAATAACTTATGAGTACTATGATATTCAAAGGTTCTTATGACTATAAGCAGTCTATTTTGGCAGTGCATTATAACCATTAATAAAATTACATTACATCGAGCATTCCCTAGATACTGAAGATGACACATTGCTCAGCAAAATAATGTCTTCAGGCACTAGTCTAACACACTGTTCATTTAAAGATTTAAATATATTTTGTGATTTATGTCATAAAAAATTCTAAACAGGCTCACAAACAACCCATTAAAACCACTGCCCTACTTTGACGCTGCCTTATTTTTGCTTTCAAATTATTTAGTGAAATTTACTTTTTTAAGACTTAAACACATAAAAAAATAAAAAAAAACAAGCAAAAAATTCTACAAAATTTGAGCATGCATGGTGGCACACAAGTGTAATCCCAACACTTAGGAGCCAAGACTGCAGGATCACAAGTTCAAGGCCAGCCTTGTGCTCTACGAGACTTTATCTAAAAACCAATTATAAAATTACAACATTTGGACAACTATTTTTTAACAATAATAACTGAGGCTGGGCAGTTGGTGGCAGAAGCCTTTAATCCCAATATTCAAGTGGCAGAAGCAGGCAGATCCCTGTAAATTCGAGGCCAGCCTGGTCTATAGAGCGAATTCCAGAACAGGCTCTAAAGCTACAGAAAAACCCTGTCTTAATAAACAAAAACAAACAAAAAAATTAACAGGGCATAAATATCTACAAGTAAATATGTGGAAAGATGACCAATCTACATGGTTAATTTCTTTTCAAGCCTCCCATGAGCGATTGCAGTGTCTAAACCCTTCTGTGTGAGGTGGGGCAGGGAAGCTAGAAACCCCACACAAAGCTGAAGACACTGTGAACAGGAACAGGAAAGAAAGGCTTAATCACTCCTTTATATATACAATTAAAAAATAACTAATTATGCCTTGGTTTTATGCAGTGTATATATAATAACTATTTTGAATTTACATCATAGTTTTATAATTTTAAGAGTGTTTTTCAGAAGATTTATTAGAAATAATAAGAAAATTATTAGTGAACTTGAAATAAATCTATGCTCTATCTATCTATCTATCTATCTACCTACCTACCTTGGTCTTTAAAAACCAAATTAACTGTGTGGGGTTTAATCCCTCTGATTGAACCCTGAACGAGAAGACACAGAGGTAATAGATGACTCATAAATACCAGCATAGAAACATTCTTGCCATCAACACCCCAATGAGCAGTACAGAAAATAAAAAGATCCTTTGCAAGCTAAGAGCAGAACCAGACACTCAGACACATTCCACATGGTCTACATAATCCCAAGGTACCACAATTACTCATTCCTACCTTGATTTGACGATCTCCTTTTCATATATCTCTTCAATTACCTGTTCCAAAAGTATAAAAATGTTTAATGTATCAAGCACCTTGCTTTTCAATCTAAACTGACAGCTTTCAATTACTGACTCAATTATTTATTATAAAATAATTTGCTTTAAGAAAGATCAAATATTTAAATAGAGACTTTTTAGCAATGACATTATTTCTCAAATATAAAGTAAAAGAAAGTAAACTAGAGAAATAATAAAATCCATCCACATAAATACACAGCTCTAAAATACTCTTTAAACAGGATGTGTTTATAACATTTCTAGACAAACAAACCTCATAGAGTCATGTTTTTGAAACTTAATTTTAAATGATTTTAGATGCTATTAGACTCTAAAAGTCATAACAGCTTCCCCCAAATCAGCTGGAAAGTAAGTTAAAAGTGTGAGGGCATTATAGAAACAAATGGTAACTGCTACATCCTACTATCCAAATGATACGATAATATCACAATTTCTAGTCAGCTGAGTCAGGGTACATAGAAGTCAGGCTCTGGAGTTCTAAGTTCTGCCTTAAACCATCACTATTGGAGCCTGTGATCCTACCACAAGTGCCTGACTTGTCTAATGTCAGTTTCTTCATCTGATATAAAAGGACCAGAAATAATGACTACTATAAAAGGTTGCATGAATAAGACAGGGCATGCAAATGTCTAATATAACTTTGAAATGTGGTCAACTTTGAGCTACAGTCACCATAGAAACACAGTACAGTTGTTAAGGGTAGTAAAGAGCGTTTTGATGCTGGTGTACTGCTGTGTAACTGTTAATGTTTCTTATATGCTCAAAGTGTATATATCAAATGTTTATGGGCAGAGGATGAGAGGCGATGGGGTAAGTCTAGTCTGAACTAGGTAGAATTCTCTATCACTATTTTTTATGAAAATTAAATTATGAGTTTTAAATATAAACAAATAGTAAAATTATTCTGAATGGGCATATATAATTTCACCTAGAACTATCTAACATAAAGTAAAATGACTGAGATATGAATTTGAATCTCAAGAAAAGCTTAATGTAACTAGATCCAATTCAATCAATCTGGTAGTAACGGCATGGTATTTGTTATTAATGGAAAATTACTCTAAAGACTCCTGATCCTAACACAAAAAGTAAAAATAAACAAACACCATGTATTGAGATCAGGTTACTCTGTTGATGATTAAAATTAAATCATGTGCTCTGTATCCATGAATATCTTCCTGAGTAAAATATGACTACTAGTAAAACAAAAATACATTTACAAATAAAATGTTGAGCCTCAAATGATGCAGTATGATTTTATGTTAAGTGTGGCTTTAACAAAGCCACCTAAAGCATCACAACTCAATCCACACAGTCAGAGATTAAGGCCTGAGTCGGCATCACTTGTTTTGTGCTTTGCAGTGTCGGCACACACTCCACGGGCAGGCTTGGCATTTTAGGACACTTCCAAGAAGAACCCTCCAGTTAGCTGGCATGTAGCTCATTTTTTTTTTTTTGACAATTGCTTTGATGACACTGTAAGTCCCCTGCACAGTGCTGTCTTTAGTCATCTATTCTAGACAAGACAGTGTCCACTCTCTCCATCCTTAAGTCCATCGAATGGTCCTGTCCTTAGTCATCTACTCTAGACAAGACAGTGTCCACTCTCTCCTTCCTTAAGACTCCTTTGCCACAGTCTAGCAATGTGAAATCGTCGGGAAACTAAAGATTCTATTCTTAATGAACAGCCAAAACTTCAATATAAATTTTTCCATATATTTACAAAAATATTTGTTGCATGCTCATCTGTAATAATAAAATATTTAAAATAATCTAAGAATCCACAGTGGGGAAATCATTACACAGACATATTTCTGGAAAGGATTAAAGGAAATAAAAGAAAGTGATAGCATTAATATTATCTCTAGGTAATGAATTTTATGTTATTATGCATAACTTCTAAAGACTCTAAAATTTCTAACATAAGCAATTATTAGTTTGATAATGAAAAACAGTATTTTCAACTTCAAAAAATGTACTGAAAGCTTTTGTTGAATTAATCCTTAAAAGTAAATATCAAAAGTATAACTGTGTGCAAGTATGTTGGAAGACAAAACTACTTACTTTTATATCAAAAGGTGATTTCTTCTTGATGTGAGGAGCCCAGTATTTACATGCTAACTGCAAAAACATTCAAACAAACAGCAGAAACATTAAATTCCAGATCCACACCACTGAACCACTTAGACAGGTCACTCAATGCAAAGCTGTTGTTTCTTAACAAAGCAGATGTAGGATTAGGGCACTGGGCAGTTTTAAAGGTACCATATAAGCATACAATTTAGATATCATCCTTGGCCCCAACACAATAAATAACAGATTCCAACAGATTCATCTCTTTTCTGAAACCCCTGGCAAACAGTATGGTTTGTTTATAATCAAAGTAAAAATGTTTTTGGATTATTCATAAAGAAATCCAAGGGCTCAAAAGATTTAGTTAGCTGCCTATGATTAGTTAGTCAACAGCTGGGTAAGTATTAAAAACCAGTTCCAAAATCTTCAGGAAAGTTGATATGTAAAGAAATAAACCTTTAAATGATTACTATATACCCAGACATACGTAGACCAAATCTTTAAGAAACTACAGTATAAAGGCTAGTTATTCAGAGGATATAAAAGTTGGTGTTTTATATTTAGTAGGTTAAATTTCACGTAGAAATTTGAATACAGATACATAATCTCTCCAGAAATTGAAATGGACTGTACACATGTCAAGAACTGTGGACTAGGAGTGGAGAAATGGCTCAGCAATTAAGAGCACTTACTTGGTCTTTCAGAGGACCTGGGTTTCAACCCGATTAACATGCTGGGTGTCTTACAACTCCCTCCAACTCCCATTCTGGGGGATCTGAGGGCCTCTTCTGTTCTCCATAGGTCACCACACATACACACACACACACACACACGCACGCACGCACGCACGCACGCACGCACGTACGCACGCACACCACTTCACCCGGCACATAAAAATAAAAATTAAAAACCTGAACACTTCATACTGATTTTTTTTAAACCAAATAAAATCCTTTTAAAAAATGGAAACTCGTCAGGTGGTGGTGGAGCACGCCTTTAATCCCAGCACTAGGGAGGCAGAGGCAGGTGGATCTCTGTGAGTTCGAGGACAGTCTGGCCTACAGAGCAAGTTCCAGGGCAACTAGGGCTGTTACACAGAGAAACCCTGCCTCAAAAAACACAAACAAAGAAGAAACTCTAGCAAGCACAAAGATTCAATAGATTTATGAGGAGGTAACTGCATTGTCTTGCATACTGGTGGTACTTAAATGTCTGCTATATAGATAGACAAATACACATATGAAAAGATAAATGAACAGGTGCTGGAGAGATGGCTCAGAGGTTAAGAGCCTGGCTGCTCTTCCAGAGGTCCTGAGTTCAACTCCCAGCAACCACTTGGTGGCTCACAGCCATCTATAATGAGATCAGGTGCCCTCTTGTGGTGTGCAGGCATACATGGAGGCAGAATGTTGTGTACATAATAAATAATAATAAAAAAAAAAGGAAAAGGAACAAATGAAGCCAAGGCTGATCTCTCCACTCTCAACTTAGTACAACCAGGACAGCACAAACTGCTCAGGAGAAATATCACAAGAAGATATAAGGGAAAGTAAAAAGAGAAAATAATAATAATAATAATAATAATAATGATGATGCAAGGTCACAGAGTCAGAACTTAGCTATGCTTTAACTTCTTGATCATTTGTTTAATACACAAGACAGAACCCTTCCTGGGCAGGTATCAGAGGCTCAGAAATCAACTCACAGAAGAGGTCATGCATCTAACCCCAACACATCACTTACCCATGGCAGATTTCCACACTTTGAGGTCACCCCTTTGGCAAAACCCTTAGACAAATACAAGCAATTTAAATTATGTCTTCAAATCACTTCCTTTACATTTCTACTCTGGCATTTTGCATATTAAACTTTCAGTTTCTCCAGATCTTCTTCCAAAGATCACAGACTCAGTGAATGCAAGGATAACCTTTTTTTGCAGCTTAGACAAATAGCACATGGCAAGTCCCAGACAATAATTCTTGTTATCATTACCACTCAATCCTCCTTCTTCTCAATACTTCTCAATGACCGCATCCATCTGTTCATGGACTGACTTGTCCACTCATTCCAAATACATATTAAACACGCTCCACGTGTCTAATATAATGCAGGTGTCCAGGAGTACATGGAGAATAAACAACCGGTTTCTAGCTCAACTCTCACAAGCTAACACATGACAGAATAATACGATGCTTATAAATAAATGATTTTCTCCACACACCCCATTCCATCCTACAGTTTCAATTTGGTATCTGAGTTAATATCAATATGCTTTATCCTCATATTCAAGAGCTCTTTCAATATACACAACTAAATGCATATCATAGTTAACATAGTCAAGACTGTACTTTTGATATGCCAAAGCAACCAACCTTTTCCATTTCAGTATATGCCAAAACATCCACGCAGCTGTTCAAGGCATTCTTAATTAATATCTTTCCTCCACAATCTATGACCAAGTCAAACTGTGTCAACTTGAGACCATAACCAGCCTTTTAACTTGAACAGCTGAGGCTCTCCAATCTCTCATCTATTCTGTATACTAACACTATTGCTATCCCTAGAACTACTTTTGCTCCCTTATCCCCACCTAATATCCATATTTTGGTAAGGCGATATTCTAACAATACCATTCACCAGGTTGCAATGCAAAGCCACTGGATATAGAAGAAAATCCAAACCTATTTGTCCTCTCAAATTATACATGAGCTAGTCCCCATATATGGCCTCATACTCCTCTTCTACTGGTAATTCTCTGCCTTTTTCTTTGTTTGGTTTCGGCTGTTGATATTTGGGACAGGGTCTCACATACCCTATGCTGGCCTCGAACCTGCGATGTAGACAAGGCTGGCCTTGAACTCCCATTCCTCTGGTCGTCACCTCTCACTTGTAGGGAATTAAAGGAATGTACTGTCACTCCTAATCCATTTTCCCTCTCAGTTCATATATTCCAGCCCCTGTAGCTCTCTTTACATTCAAACTTCACATCAGCACTTGACATTGCCCGCACTGTTTCCTTGTTCTCTCTCAAGTTAGCTGCTCATCTGCACTGAACTTTAATGGAGTTTAAGATGTCAGGAATAGCCTCTCTAATGTGATGTAAAGAAAACAGGTTAAATTGGGATTCCGACGAGCGGGAACAATGTCTAGAAAGTCAGATAGGAGTTACCATGGCGCATTTAAGTCACTGAAGCTTATAGTGGGGAAAGCTTAAAGTGAGAACGGGAGGGGCATGAGCAAGGACACTTTTAAGTGAAAGCACAGCACTTTCAAAGCTTTCAGTCATTATCCCTGGGGCAATCAAAACCGTTGATGAGGCAGCTTTACCCCCAAGTGCACTCTGAAGCAACCTGAAGAACGGACTGCAGGAGAACAGGAGGAAATATGTCAGATCAGAAGCCTTAGAGTGGAGGGGGAGAGAGGTCCAGAAACTGACAAGTTAGCACGTCGTCACGCAAGGGCTAAGTGAATGAAACAGCTTCTAGGATTCTGCCCTGACAAATCTGCTGAGACTGGAGAGAAGCGGGTGGGCTTAAAAACTTCCGCACTTACTCATGAACCTACTAAAGAATAATTTCTAAAGAACTAACATGAGCGGGAAAGATTGAAGGCCCAGGATTGGTTTTGCTGTCTCCAAATCAAAGCTCCAGAAATAATTAACGTTCATAGACGGATCTACTTGTAGAGGGGGTCTTGTCAAATTAACAAAATTCTATTCAAACACAAGTTTTGCAGTCTCTTTTCTGTCAACGCGGAGCGGACTCTTTCTGCGTGGCATTTCCAATATTTAACTAGTAACGGGCACGTACACGAGAAATCAAAGACAATCCCAGGACCTGGCCATGCTTCCTCCCCGCTCACACAGGCAGACCCGCCGGGGCTCACCTGGGTGACGAACTCCGCATTGATCTGGGACACCGTGGGGGCCACGATTTTCTTGGGTTGCGCAGGGGCCGCCATCGCACCAGTCGCCTGCGGCTCCGGTGCAGACCAGAGGCCCGCGCTCGCAGTGGGGACACCAGAAAGCTTTCAAGCAGCCGTCGTGATGTCTAGCCCCGAGCTGCAGAAAGCGCCCGGCCAGGACACTCTGAGACCTCACAGTTCCTCTGGGAACCTGTGAGAGAATCCCGGCGTTCCCCCGGAAGCAGAACTAGTAGGCCCGGAAGTTAGGGCAAGCGTTAAGCCCTAGCTAGAAAGCCAACTGCTTTTACCTGTTTCTTTATCGCCCCCTAATGGAAGGTGGATAGATAACACCCAGCGTGCGGAATTAGGGTATGGTGTTGGTCACGGTTAGTAAAGGTGGGAGTTGGAAGAATAGGATTTTGAGTTTCTTTGGATGCTAAAGAAAGACGTAGTAGCCGGGCGGTGGTGGTGCACGCCTTTAATCCCAGCACTTGGGAGGCAGAGACAGGCGGATCTCTGTGAGTTCGAGACCAGCCTGGTCTACAAGAGCTAGTTCCAGGACAGGCTCCAAAACCACAGAGAAACCCTGTCTCGAAAAAACAAAACAAAACAAAACAAAAAAAAAAAAAAAGAAAGAAAGAAAAAGAAAAACGTAGTATAAAAACCATACTCATTCAAGGCATTCTGCGGCCTTAACAGCTGTCTAGAAGTATTGATTGTCATTCAATAAACACAGAGTGTAAAACTTGATACATTTTGAAATGGTTGTGTATCTTTTAAAGCATCACCAAAATCATGACAATGAAATTGTCCAATGCCCTCAAAAGTTACTATGTGCCCTTGGGCTCTCAACCTTACATCACATCTCATTCAGCCTTCTGTCAATACTGATCCTCTGTGTCACTGTTCATTAGAGAATTTTATTTAAGTTTTATGTAAATTTTTTGGGAAAAGAGACTATTGTACATAAATTTTAGAATATGCCTTTTTCTTTGTTCACCCAAAATTATTTTGAGATGCATCTGTGTTGTTGCTCGTATCAGTCACTGATCCAATTTTATTGCTAAATAAATTAATTTTTTTCAGACAGCACAGTTCATGAATTTAGTAATCTGTTGCTAGATATTGAAATTGCTGCTAGTTCTAGACTGCTATAAACAAATCCTCTACAAGCGATTCTTAGCCATTATGGAGAGACACATTTCCTCTGAAATAACACACTAGATGGTTAAGTCCTATGATAAGTGTGTTTGTTCATCTTTCCCCAGACGCCTCAGAGAGACGCCATGCTCCCGGCTCCTGGGCAGATGCATGCGATGAAGCTACGACCCAGGATGGACGTAGGCTAGAATCTTCCCGGTAAGACCAGTGCCCAAAGATTATTAGAGATGATCGGGATATCAGAATTAGCCAGTAAGGGCTAGAGCTAAAGGGCCAAGCAGTGTTTAAAAGAATACAGCTTCCGTGTAATTATTTCGGGTAAAGCTAGCCGTGGAGGTGGCCGGGTGCCAGGGACGCAGCCCCGCCGCTCTTATTACTTCAGAGACTAGCAACTCATTCTCTCTCTTCTAATTTTATGATATGTAGTGCCCTACCCAAAATTAATAGTTTGAAAAACATTAGCTGTGGGTCTGGAGATAAAGTACATAAGGTAGTTTTTGCCACTCCATATTTTACTCTTTATTTCTAGGGGTATAGCTAAAAATTTACAAGCTTACAATTTTAAATGCAAAGGAATCTGAATGTAAAATAACCACTGACACCTTATCTCCAAATGTAGCACCTATAAAATTGTAGTGCAGGTTTTCTAATGGCTTTGATGATGAATCTTGATCATCTGAAATTGATCTCTATACTTCCCTGCCGCTACCACATCTCCTATAATATATTCTTAAATAATAATAATAAAAAAACACACCCTGGAGTCAGGAAAGGTCTTCAAAAGCAAGGATGCCATTGGTGTTAAGTACTTCGTGTGATAAGAGGACGAGAATACCACAAAGACCAGGAATGAGGCAATTAAAAGACTTCTACTGATATAATTGGGATATTTTGTTGCTGTAGGAAAAAATAAAAGTTGGCTTTAAAGTCAAGTCTGTTTATAGGAGTATCTAAAAGGACTAGTGCCAACATAGACATCAGGCAGGCATTTGTGAGGGCTCTGGTCCATTTCTCTGTGACTCTTAGGCTTTGACTCTTCCGATTCCGTTCTGACTTGATGATTAGGTCACAGCACTAATGCGGAGAATCTCTGCGTGTACCGTTTCCTTCTGCAATCTGAATTAAGTGCAATCATGCACTCTGGCCACCTCCTTAATTAAGTCAGTGCTTTCCCCAGAGCCAATCTGGGTGACTCAAATGAGAGATGGAATATGCTAACAGGTTTGGAGAGATCCAGCCTGACTGATGGGCAGCAACTAGACTCAGTCTGCCCCAAATCTAGTCCTGGAGAGATGTCACTATAACTAGCAACACTCATTCAGTAACTATCGGGAAGGCCAATTTCAAAATTATAGTGGGAAGTAGGGATACCAGACAATATACGGCTAAGAACTGAATGAGTGAAGAGGCAAAGGAGGCAGTAGGGATGTAATATACTCCACCAGTTCTGATAATAAAGTAAGAAGGGTGAAGGATGACAGTGGTCAGAATAACAGTCTTCATCACCAGCCCCTGCATGCTTGCATGTGTTGTCTGTGTCCTGTGTATGTGAGGGTGCGTGCTGTGCCCATACAGGTGCATGTGAAGGCCAGCGGTCCATATCAGGTGTCTTTCTCTATTGTGTTCTACCTATTCTTTGAGATAGTCTCTCTCATGGAATCTGGAGTTTGCTGTTTGAGCTACACTGGCTGACCAGTGAGTTAGCCCCCAGGACCTACCTCTCTCCACTCACACCCTCAATGCAGGAGCTACACAGATATATGCCCGGCTATTGTGGGTGCTGGAAATCTTAACTCAAATCCTCATGCTTGCTCAGCAAATCCTTTTATACGATGAACTATATCCCCACTCCCAACCCTGTTTTTAAGGTAGGTACAAGGATGGTGTTCGCTATCTTTTTTATTTTCTCCAAAATATGCCCTCAAATTTCATCAGTTTCCATATCATCTTCATATATGTAATGTTAGTACAGATGGACTCAATCTTACCTCCCCTGTCTATGTCTGCAGTTGGTTCATAAACATGCCTTGGAAGGAGATGGCAGAGGTGAGCTTTGCTAAGATTTTTGAGAAAGTTACTCTGCTCTTGTGAGTAGGATCTCTCATTCATATGCCACCCTACTCCCCCTCCCATGAAGGAAGCTGAGGTACATTACAAAACATTAAAGAATCATATGGAAAATAGTATGTCACCATGAAAGGCGGAGCAGATAGAAGGAAGCAGAATCGATTCAAGAACATGATTGGACAGCTCTCCAGTAATCTAGTCAGTGGATTTCAAGTCATGGAAGCCAGTTAGTCTTATTGTTAAAGTAATTTGAGGCAGGTGACCCATTAGTTACAGTCAAAAGCATCTTATAAAAAAAACATTGGCTTTTAAAACGTGTTATTTAGAGGTAAAAGAATCAATGGGGAAGTAAAAAAACTAGATGATGTGGGATCTCCTCTGTATGTTATGAATATGTTTTTTTGTTATTATTGGCTGATAAAGAAACTATTTTGGCCTAAGTCAGGGAAGAATACAGGTAGGTGGGAAACTAAACAGAATGCAGGGAGAAAGAACACAGAGTCAGGAAGACACCATGTAGCTTCTAAAGGAGAAAGATGCCAGAACCTTATCGGTAAGCCACAGCCTTGTGGCAATATACAGATTAATAGAACTAGGTTCATTTAAGATATAAGAGCTAGCTATGAATATGCCTGAGGCACTGGCCAAACGGCATTGCAATTAATAAGGTTTTTGTGTGATTATTTGGGTCTGGATCATGGGGAAACAAAAGTACAGTCTCTGTTTACACTAGACATTAGGGAAAAGGGACAATTGAAGTTTCCAGTAGGGGGAAAGAAAGAAGCAAAGGAACATTCTAAGAAAGATGACGAGAAAGGACAGACATCTGTGAGTGGGGTTTGGAGTGCACTTGATTTGGCTTTGATCTCAACATAATTTAAGGCAAATTCATCCTCTGAAAGTATATGTGAGAATCTAAATGAGGTTACAGACAAAAAGTATACTGTTTGGCCCAACAAGTGCTGTCTCCTTAGCACAGCCATATACAGGCTCAGCACACGCCAAGGCAAAGTTTGCCCCAAGGGCGGTGCAGCAGTGAGGCGGGTGGGCAGCTGCCTCCATACTGTCACTGTGCCCTCCCTGTTCCCGCCTGTTGATGAGCACAAAGACTGCCAAACCATTTCCTAACCCAGGGAAGGGAACTGAGACTACAAGGGACCCGATGTCCTCCCAGTCCCCTCTTCAGTCTTCTACACCACTGGCTTCCCAAGATGAACTCCGCAAGTCAACTCCTCCACCCATGCACACACTCCTAGACATTTTGCATGAGAATATAAAAATACAATATATGCAGACATGTTTCGTTTGAAATCATTTGACTTGCTTCAGGAATCTCTGTGCTGCCTGCACTGCATCTTATAGGTGTCTTCTCAGTAAAAAGAAAATAAAAATATCTGAATATTAAATGCTTGCAGTAAACTCTTCAATAGCTTTTTTTTTCTTCTATACCAAGCTGCATCTGAGAATGTGTTTTCCAGATACTGTATTAAGTTGGAAAGAGATACACTCCATTTTTATTAACTTCTATATTTAAAAAAGTGTTTTCTCAAAACACTAACTTATGTAAATGTAATTGTGGGTTCAAATCTAATGAGTTACAAATCCTGTTGTGTAGTGCAGTCATCAATACTTCTAACAAAACCAATTAACACGAAAGCTTGATGACTGTGGTTACTACCAACAGTGACAATAGTATAGACCTGGAATATCCCCCTAAGACTTAGTGTTAATAGCAGGTCCTCAAGCTCAGTGCTTTAGAAGGTGAGTGAACCTTCAAGAGGTGAGTCTAATCTTGAAATCTGCAGGCAAATGGATGGATCTAGAAAACATCATATTGAGTGATGTAACCCAGACCCAGAAAGACAAATATCATATGTACTCATTTTTATGGCTTTTAGACATAAAGCAAAGAAAACCAGCTTACAATTCACAATCCTGGAGAACCTAGACAACAAAAAGGATCCTAAGAGAGACAAACATGGATCTAATCTACATGGGAAGTA